GGTACCCGGGTACCCGGAACACCCCTTTGACCCCTAGAGATTATAATACAGTCAGAAAAGTGTGACAATAAGGTGTGAAACTGTCAGTTTTGTGCCTTATTAGTCACCCTTAGCAAACAACGGTTACACAATTTTTTTACGGAACTCGGACCTTGATCACCCAAATAGCGTTTAAGCTGCATCGTAAAAAAACGTTATGGGGACTGATTTATCGTTGTGACGAACGGTACGTTTTTTGGCCAAATACTGCATAGTCCGTACGCATTTTACCTTGTATCGCAAATATGGTGACATAAATGGTTGCACCGCACGAAATAAAAGCTATTCTCCTGGCAACAGCGTACTAAAAATAGCGTGCATCTTGCTAAAGGTCGAACCCAAATCATGGTATTTTCCCCCTTACGGTACTATCGTTACAGCATAACGTTTTTTGCTAAGGGTGTCTATTGTGGCACTTGCCGACTGCATTATGATGTACGACTGTATTTTCATTGGTAAACAGTAAGTCAAAACTCGTAACATTTGGTCCTTCTTTTATACATCGAAAGAAGATTTGTTTTAGATGATACTAACAAATTCCGAGCATTTGATTTTGCCTGGCGTGCATCGTTCTTTATGCCAACAGTGGAGTGGACGGTGTTGAGAACGATTCTCTACGAGGGACAATGACCGTATCGACATCACTGATGCGCGATAAAAACCCACATCCACCTCACTTGTTTTTCTCCTCGATCCTGATGATGGCTCTTGGGCGAACCCTGTGATTGAGACATTACTGATTAGCAGCGACGAGACCACTTGATTAGAGGATGGTGTGTTTAGGGTTTTTCCTGTTGTCTCCTCGTCTGTTATTTGAAGACTGTGTTGATAGAATGAAGTTGAAGACACCACTGCAGCTGTACTTATGGTTGATAAATATGGTGGTAAAGACACACCTGGCAATATGGCGGTAAACACATGCCTGCCCACACACGCTCTCTAGGCTGCAAAGTTCTGGCACAGAGCTCTCCTTCTCACCACCACCACCATCAGTTCGCGCCTGGCGCCTGCTGTGTCATCATCTATGTGCCATGCGCTACTTGATGTACCAGCCTGCTATGCCGGATACCGCCAGCCATGCATCGACCAGGCGCGAACTGATGGTGGTGGTGGTGAGAAGGAGAGCTCTGTGCCAGAACTTTGCAGCCTAGAGAGCGTGTGTGGGCAGGCATGTGTTTACCGCCATATTGCCAGGTGTGTCTTTACCACCATATTTATCAACTGTGTTGATGCTCTTAAAATTCTGACCTTTTAATTTTCCGTGGCGTGCATTTCTATATGCTAACAGTGGAGTGGACGGTGTTGATAGCAGATCTCAGCGAGCCATAGCGACGGCATCGACATCCCTGGTGCACGATAAAACCCGTGTCCATCGTCTGCACATGGTTCTGGAGGTCCTCATACCGCACTGGCTACAGACGGTGGATGTCTACTGCAAGCAGTCCATTACTGAAGCAATAGACAGAGACAAGGTAGGTACCAGAACAATCATACATGCCACTCTCGAACAATCAGACCTTGCTTAACCGCACACATCCGTTTTCCACATAAAATTCCGGATAGGCGAGGGAACCGGATAATCGAACAAACATACTTTATAATATACACACTTGAGAGGGACGAAAAGCGTTTCTTCTGTTGTCACAGAAGAAACGCTTTTCGTCCCTCTCAAGTGTGTGTACTAGGCTCTGCACCTTGGTGTATTGAGCACTCTCATGAGCAACCACAACTCCCTCCGAGTTTACTTTATAATATATGCATGGCATATGCCGTAAAAAACAACCATTTTCTTGCGGATGGCGAGGGATCCGGATAAAAGAGGACCGGATAAGCGAGGTCAGACTGTATCTCACTAGCCCACTCGGTCCGGCCCTGGGCACTGCCCATGATTATCAAATGTCCGCAACTCTGATTCACACAATTTTTTAGTGATGTCACTATTTTCCACAAAAATTGGCAAAGGAGTGGTAATATTTCTACTGAAGCTTACCCGCAGGGTGCCGAGTAGTCCGAGGTGGAGCGTATCTTAAGGTGGGAGTGCAGCCAACATTAGCTATACGATTGTTATAGTGTAATGAGTGTACTTTCGACCTGCATTACACTTCTCTATGTGTGGAGTTAACAAGAAAATTCTGTTTGAATGCCAAGTATGGGGTGAATTGCAGTCCAGTCATCGGAACCAGTCCCACTGGCTTTTGAAAGTCCGATTTGGGTCGAATTGAGAATCAAAAACCCACTTTAAATCTCAAAAATCTGGGATCTGCTTCTCCATAATTATATTTTGCCATGGCATACCTGTCCTAATTTGCAAAACCTGGCAGAATTTCTATTTCCCTGTTTTGAACTTTTCTGCCCTCAAATGTGTCAAGAAGTAATTGCATGGATCACACAATGCAGGGTGTACTGTTGTTTTCACGATATCTACAACTATGTGTGGGAAACGAAAAATTTAGGGTGCCAGTTTCCAATGAATGGACTGTAGTGCTTGCTTCTGCTCCTGCAAAAGTCGCCAAAAAAGGAATTTTGGTGTACATGTAATATTATAAGAGCGATAGTGGTTGTGTAACACACCGCCGACTCTTGTTTCTTTTTTTACTGCTGCTAGGTGAACAGTATCAGCGATACAGAACATGGTATCTCATCATGTGCTGCGGAGTTTGGTAGCATGGTGGAGTTGGTGAGTTGCTAGATTGTGCTGTCATCGTGCACGGCCGCACCTGTAGATACACGTTTCTGGCGATTTACCGTAAAGGTCCGTAAATAAGTACGTGCTCTAAGTAAATTTCTCCTTCATCCCTTTGACTCCGTCTTTCGAAGTCAAGTTCAGCCCGATATACATACTGCCCGTAATAAGTACCGGTGCGGGTACATACTGCCCGCCAAAAGTACCAGTGTGGGTACATACTGCCCACAATAAGTACTGGTGTGGGTACATACTGCCCGCAAAAAGTACCGGTGTGCGTACATACTGCCCACAATAAGTACCGGTGTGGGTACATACTGCCCACAATAAATACCGGTGCGGGTACATACTGCCCGCAATAAGTACCGGTGTGGGTACATACTGCCCGCAAAAAGTACCGGTGTGGGTACATACTGCCCGCAAAAAGTACCGGTGTGGGTACATACTGCCCGCAAAAAGTACCGGTGTGGGTACATACTGCCCACAATAAGTATCGGTGTGGGTACATACTGCCCGCAATAAGTACCGGTGCGGGTACATACTGCCCGCAAAAAGTACCGGCGTGGGTACATACTTCCCGCAATAATTACCGGTGCGGTTCGCACATGCGGTGCATACCATGTACATGGACATAAAAAATGACTTCTCCACCACACGCAAGGTATTTCCTGCCTGAAGATCAGTCCCAGCCTGAAAGTTAGTACGGTGTGACCACTAGATTGGAGAGTAGGTACTGCCGTTAAGTATACAAATTTTCCGCCCATTCAAATTTCGGCCTCCCGGGGCTAAAACACATTTCGGCTGCAACAAATTTTCGGCCAAAATAGCCGAAAATAAATATGCGCCGAATATTAAATTTTGTTGACTTACATTACGTACTTATTTACATACTTTTACAGTACGCTGTAGTGTATGTTTTGTGCGTGATGTTTAACATTTCATTGAGCAGTTTGTCCACGGCTGTTTCCACTTCTCTGACTGGGAAGAGTAAACAAAAGTGTGTTCCGAGCTAATGAATATAGTCAGGTTCATTATAAAATCTGTCGACCCGGAGTTTCAAGACTGCGCTGTGTGTCAACGTGTTTTTATTTCAATTGCAATGCATCAATGCTTCGCACACCTGTGAGTTCAGGGAATCAAGACGTGGCGATTAATCACGTTAGCCAATCTAGCTGCTCTGGACTTTCTATGGTACTGTAAAAGCCATTATTCTAACGAGGCGCATATATAACGATTTTCCAAAATTGACTAGTTTAAGTGTACCAAAGGTAACGATTCTCACTCATTCTCAACGCTCAATAGGACAGTATATGTATCGATTTCTGTATAACGATTTCTATGTTAACGACAGATTTCTCCTCGTTAACTCGTTAGAGTTAGCACTTCGTTATATATATTGCTTTTACAGTAGTTCTGAAATTGTCCAGCTGTGGACAATACTATTGGTGCCATTTTGATGTTGCATGTTCCGCCTGTTACAGGTGTGTGAACGTTCTTCAATGTGGGTGTTTGTGCGAGTGCGTGCATTCGTGCATACGTGCCTGTGTGTGCGTGTGCGGGTGTGCGTGTGCGGGTGTGCGTGTGTCTGTGCGTGCATGTGAGCGCGTGCATGTGAGTGCGTGCATGTGTGTTTGTGCACGCATACATGTGTGCGTGATTTATGTGTGTGTGTGTGTGTGTGTATGTGTGCCTATGTGTGTGTGTGTGTATGTGTGTGTGTGTATGTTTGTATATTCAGCTTGCAAGTCATTGGGAATCTGCCATTGACTGGCCAGAGCCAGTTGTCAGCTATTTGATCATTACACGCTTGATGGATGTAAGTCGAGTATACTGCAAAGATGTACATTTATGTTTCTAGGACAAACCGGCTTTAGCCATAAGCTATCATTAACACCCTCAACCTTTTTTATAGTATCTATCTCTGTACCTTTTTTTTACCAATACACTGCAGGGGCGTCGGAAGGTAATTTATTGTGATACGGTCAGCCATCTGCAGTACAATCTACTCGTGGGAGAGGGATGGGCGAGCCGGAAATTTGGAAAATTAGAGCCCAAATCAGTGCATTTTATTGATTCACGGCGTACTTGGGGCAAAGAGTGGTACGGTCAATACCGTAGCGACCGTACCGTGTGCGACGCCCCTGCACTCATACCTCGTTTAGCCGAGCGGTCCAGGACCGGGCACTGTCCGTAACTTTTGAAATGTTCGTTACACCGAATCACACACATTATGATGGGAAGAGGCCCTAGATATAACTAGATATGGCACGTGACGTCACTATTTCCACTATTTCCACTATTTCCACTATTTCCACTATTTCCACTAAAAAGTGAGAGAAGAGTAGTATTAGACATCCTTAGCAAACAACGGTAACGCTATTTTTTTACGGTACTCGTACCTTGGTCACCCAAATAGCGTTGAAGCTGCAGTGTAAAAACGCTATGGGGGCTGATTTATCGTTGTGACAAACGGTACGTTTTTTGGCCAACGTTTTTTGCTAAGGGCGTCTAATGTTCCCGCTGAAGCTCGCCCAAAGAGTGCCCGGTAGACCGAAGTGCGCGTAACTTCAGGGTCTGGGTAACCAAGGTATGAGTGTAGGTCTTGTGGTATCCTAGAAAATCCCTGAAGGCTTAATCACGGTTTTCTGTTTGTTTCTGATGTCACTGCAGATCATTTGCGAGTGTTCTCGTCGTGTAGCCAGCCACTGTCACCGATGTATTCGCAACTGGCCGCCATCTCGTCTTTTCTCTGGTCGTGTTGACTACATGCAGCCCATACTCGCCGCTAACAACGTGGCCTTTGTGGCAATGCGCTTGCGCGCCGTTCCCAGAGAGCTGCGTCTTCTCGGATTTCAAGAGGACTTCAGCGGCGTTCACTTCACTTCTCCGTCACCCCGTGCTCTCTCCCCACGGGCACACTCGCCCTGCCATCCCCAGCGTCGTAGCTATGGCGACATACAGGCAGCAGCAGTCATTACCATGGTAACGGCGGCGACCCCGGCGGCTGACCAGCCGTCCGACCCACTGTCCAAGTCCATGCCTTCACCGCGGCGTAGTCTCGAACTGCCCGACGTGGTTCCACCAGCAGTGAAGCAGTTTCGAAACGAAGGCAAATCAAGTGACAGTGGCGGTGGCGGCAGCGTACAGCGCTCCAGAAGCTTCAAGGAACGAAAGTCACCGATGTCCTCTCTTGGTGTTAGCTCGTCGCCAGTTGTTGTGCGTCGTACTGGCAGTCTGCGACGATCACGGAAGAAAGGTGATCGCAACAGTGGTGATGCCGGCGCTAGAGGCGAGGAGAACGGCTCCGGCTTACGACGAAGCCATCGACCGTTGAGTTGCTCCAGTCCTGACCTGCTTCTCTTCGTCAACGGAAGACCAGGTGACTCAGGCAGTGCTGCTAGTGACGAAACGGTGGGCACCCAGCGACAACGTGCCGCAACACGTCTTGTCATCGACAATTGCATGCGTGATCTCTCCACAGTGCTTATGCAGATAGGCCAGCAGGTTGTGACAAAGGTAAGTTTTACTGGAATGTCAGTGCATTGGGGCCTTGGTGCCTTGGTTTGCCTAATGCCTGATCCACCCCTGGGCCGATTTTTCCGCCGATTCTGGGATGGATTTTGGAATCCTCAAGGTCGGCACGAAAATGGCCTGGTGTGGACGGTGTTGTCGCACACCTTTCCGACAAATTTGTGCGTACGTGTGTGTATAGGTCCGATCCAGTCGGCCGATTTCATGTCGGAGTCGGTGTCGTAGCATTGGGCGAAAAATCGGCCTAGCGTGAACCAGGCATTACTCTTCCCTTTTCCAGCTACACGCTGCTTCTTCGTGGGATCCGATCATGCGAGTTATTGATACCTGCCGGCCACTCCGCTGTTCCAGACGTTGTCAGCACTGGCTCTGATCTGTTGCAGGACACGAATGTGACTCGCACGACTGGACTTCGTAGACCAGCGCAGTATCTGATATTCGAGCATGCCACATATTCGAGCATGGTCGTGTATGACTAAAACCAGGCTAATTCTTGTTCAAGGCTGGTTGAATGCACAGGTTCAATTTTTGGGATTTCTATACAACCTAGGTGTATTGAATACATATACACTCAGACTTATGTGCCAAATTACCATCTTGCAATTCATTCCTGTGTTTCACACATGCAAGCACTATGCGTTTCTTGGTGTCATGCATGCCTGATCGTAGGCCGATTTGAAACAATTCTTGTTTTTTGTCCGTGTGTGTTTGTGTGTGTGTTTGCGTGCTTGCATGTGTGTGTGTGTGTGTGTGTGTGTGTGTGTGTGTGTGTGTGTGTGTGTTTGTGTGTGTGTATGTGTGTGTGTATGTGTGTGTGTGTGTGTTTGTGTGTGTGTGTGTATGTGTGTGTGTATGTGTGTGTGTATGTGTGTGTGTGTGTGTGTGTGTGTATGTGTGTATGTATGTGTGTGTATTTGTGTGTGTGTATATATGTATGTGTGTGTGTATGTATGTATGTGTATGTATGTGTATGTATGTATGTGTGTATGTATGTGTGTGTATGTATGTATGTATGTGTATATGTATGTGTGTGTGTGTGTATGTATGTGTGTGTGCGTGTTCGTGTGTTCATGTAGTTTGCCATTGGTGTAGACATACCACTGCTTCAAGTGCTCTCCGACTTACCCGAGGCGAATTCCGACATGGACATTGGTGTTGTAAGGTTGTGGCTGACTTTGTGGGGAACTCCTCTTCACACATACCGCTTAATCTTATCACAGGCTTTCCCCAAATTCTAATCTTATCCAACCGAAAAAAAACCCACTCCCCATCTCGGGAGTTATCTTTCTAACGAGGCACTATAGAGACTCTATTCCTCCCTATTTTCTAAGTAAAATCGTCTTTCACATGGAAAAACACGGAATAGCTGCGCACTCTTAAACCAGACACGTTCCTGCAAGCATGCACCCCCCCCCCCCCTCACAGACCCTCTCCATTTTCTCGCTTATATATTACGGAAACCGGAACAAAGACATACTGAGCCTCTCACTTGCTTTTATTAACGGTAGGCAACTTACTTTACTTGTTTCGGGCAATGCCGTGTGTTAGCGGCCATCGTGAAATCCCTCTGGAAAGACAACGAAGATTGCATTTATCTCACTTCATTTTCCTTCAATCTTTCATCTACTCAATTCCTACATGCGGCTAACGGGGTTTCTCGGCACTTGTACCAGTGGTTGTGAGACGTATCCACTCACCCTCACCGTTAGGCGCTGCATCTGCCGCTAGGGTTTACCGGGTGTTAGCGGCCGTCGTGGGTTCCCTTTGGGAACGGACTACATAATTTACTTTTTTAATTTAAGTTAATCCACACGTTCACACACGTATGTGCTGCCAACTCTACTTTAGGTTTCCAGTCCTGGCCCATGGGCAGTGTGAAAATAGTGTTAACCTCTCTTCAGTGTACATGTGCTAGTATTAATTAAGAACCCAGATGGTGAACCAAGGAAAACATTTGTAACATGGAAAAAAAATATTTTAATTTTTTTACTATTGAACACTCACTGCATTTGTGCTAGATTGTGCACGTATGACTGTTCGAAATCTGGTTTAGTTGGTGGACTTGATCACGTAACTTGTGCAAACATTTTTCCATGTTACAAATCTCTCCAGTGTGTTCTAGTATGGTGTTTAGCGGATTGATGATGTTCTGTTGGTTCTAGGTGATAGCTCCGCTTCTTGATTACATCACCGGCACAGTGAAGTCTGTCATGCTGGAGGGAAAGATCACGAAACTGGCGCAGGAAGGGTAAGGGTGTGTGTGTGTGTGTGTGTGTGTGTGTGTTTGTGTGTTTGTGCGCGCGAGCGAGCGTGCATGCGTTCGTGCATGGATGCGAGCGTGCATGTGTGCGTGTATGACACAGTTACGAAAAGCATTCAGAGATCACGAAACTGGCTCAGGAAGGGTGATGGTGTGTGTGTGTGTGTGTGTGTGTGTGTGTGTGTGTGTGTGTGTGTGTGTGTGTGTGTGTGTGTGTGTGTGTGTGTGTGTGTGTGTGTGGTGCCTGGGAGTGCTGGTGACGTGATCGGTGTGGTCAGCGATTTTACCTACCTCGGCAGTACGATCAGCGACGATGGAGAGCTGGATGCCGAAGTCACAACTCGTCTCGCCAAGGCATCGAGGGCGTTTGGTAGCCTCCTCCAACCAATTTTCCGGAACTCGGGTCTGTCGCTTGGAATCCGACGTCAGGTCTACCAGGCCGTGATCCTTACAGTGCTGCTGTATGGTTCTGAGACATGGACGCTGAAGGCACCCCTCCTGCGCAGGTTGGACACGTTCCATCGACAGTGTGTTCGCACGATCCTGAGTGTTACCCGAGACCAGCAGTGGCAGGAACACCTGTCAAGTGAAGACTTGGCGAAGCGCAGCGGCATGCCAGCCTCGCTGGAGGAGGCCATTCGTGCGAATCGCCTGCGATGGCTTGGTCACCTCGCAAGGATGGATGACACCAGGTTGCCAAAGCAGATCCTGTTTGCGGAGGGCACTAACACGCGGCCCCGCCATGGACCCAAGCGTCGTTGGAGAGATGTGGCAGCTTCAGACCTGCGTGCGACCGGTATCCCGGAGGCGCAATGGTACCACCTTGCTCAGGACCGGAGGGACTGGCGCGAACGTAGCCGTCGGAAGCCACCAAGCCAGCCCCAACCAAGAGTGTTCGTCTGTGTCTGCGGCCGCGACTTTCGCCGTCCGAATGATTTATCCCGACACAAGAACTACTGCCTCGCCTAATAGCTATCATCGCCTTCGGCGATGGGCTTTCCAAAGGTCCAAAGGTGCATGCGTGTGTGGGTCCCATATGGTGCAGTGGTATGTGCAGTCGATTTCCAATCGAGAGGTTGCGGGTTCAATTCCCGACGATTATGGTCGCACACGTCTTTCTTCTCTTTCTCGGACTCTTCCTGACTTTCCTTTCATTCTCCTGGGTGGTTACCAACAGCCAGTGTATGCCGGAGTATGTGGTGTGGTGTGTGTGTGTAGAAAAAAATGAAAAAATGAAAAATAGGGATTCACTGGCCAGAAAAAGTCACTTCAAACAGCTGTGTGGTGGATACCAGGCTAAAAATAGTGGCGGTCAATTCATCAGCCTTGCAAGCTGTTGAATGGTGTAATCCCAGCACAAGTTGCTATGTCTAACATAGCTGTTCGCTATCATCGCTTCCGCGATGGGCATGTCTGAGGTCTGAGGAGGTCTGAGGCATGCGTGTGTGTGTGTGTGTGTGTGTGTGTGTGTGTATGCGATCGTGCATGCGCTCATGCATGGATGCGAGCGTGCACGAGTGCGCGTATGACACACGGACACACGGACACACGGACACACGGGCACATGGTTGGTTGTTAGTTTGAGCTATAGAGGTTACGCAGTTACACCATCAGTTGAGAGATGCTTCGGCAAAGTCGCGGCGGACTCACAGCACACCGCTGCAATTGCACTAACGACTCGTGCTGCATGCCCATTTGGACAACTGGTGACACACGCTCGTATACTTTTGTCCAGTTTTGACTTTATGGTTACAAGAGCGTTGGAATCTGAAAACCCCACAGTACTAGATCACTAATACAGGCCAATTTTCAAAAAAGAGGAGGGACGGTGGGTTTGTTATGCTACAGGGTTTCCTTTGTGTGTGTGTGTGGGTGCTTACTTGAATGTGTTTGTGTTTGCGTGTAACAGAATCAATGTCATTCCTTTACCGGGGATTCACGAACACAACGTACTCGTTTACATTAGGGGGCGCCACCAATTTTTTTATGGGGGGGGGGGGGGTTGCGAACCAAAATCACAACTCGACCGACGCTGTACATATGTACGTGTACATGTATGCGATTTTCGTCGTCCAGTATAGCAAGCTGTGATCGTTTCAGATGGGAGGGGAGGGTGTCCAAGTACGAAATCAACGGTGCACGTTTCAGGGTCGACAAAATACGTGTATGACGACGAGGGTAGACAAAAAAAACTTTATGACGACCCCTTACAGTATATATAGAAAAGAAAAAGGACCAAGAAACTACAAGTTACGCCACTGAATGTGCACTAACAGCACCACTTGTAGTCTAAGTGTAACTTGTAGTTCCTTGGTCTTTTTTTTCTTTTCTATTGATTTATCCTCGGCTCTCCATCCCAGTCCATTCCTACAGTCTTTACTATGCCACCACGGGAAACAGGAACAAAACTCCAAGGGACCGTCGGACAAGAACACTGAACATAAGGGACTCAAGAATCACAAAGCACTCATGCTACTAACAGTTACACATGCACTCATGCGTATATCACACAGCACTCATGCGTATATCACACAGCACTCATGCGTATATCACACAGCACTCATGCGTATATCACACAGCACTCATGCGTATATCACACAGCACTCATGCGTATATCACACAGCACTCATGCGTATATCACACAGCACTCATGCGTATATCACACAGCACTCATGCGTATATCACACAGCACTCATGCGTATATCACACAGCACTCATGCGTATATCACACAGCACTCATGCGTATATCACACAGCACTCATGCGTATATCACACAGCACTCATGCGTATATCACACAGCACTCATGCGTATATCACACAGCACTCATGCGTATATCACACAGCACTCATGCGTATATCACACAGCACTCATGCGTATATCACACAGCACTCATGCGTATATCACACAGCACTCATGCGTATATCACACAGCACTCATGCGTATATCACACAGCACTCATGCGTATATCACACAGCACTCATGCGTATATCACACAGCACTCATGCGTATATCACACAGCACTCATGCGTATATCACACAGCACTCATGCGTATATCACACAGCACTCATGCGTATATCACACAGCACTCATGCGTATATCACACAGCACTCATGCGTATATCACACAGCACTCATGCGTATATCACACAGCACTCATGCGTATATCACACAGCACTCATGCGTATATCACACAGCACTCATGCGTATATCACACAGCACTCATGCGTATATCACACAGCACTCATGCGTATATCACACAGCACTCATGCGTATATCACACAGCACTCATGCGTATATCACACAGCACTCATGCGTATATCACACAGCACTCATGCGTATATCACACAGCACTCATGCGTATATCACACAGCACTCATGCGTATATCACACAGCACTCATGCGTATATCACACAGCACTCATGCGTATATCACACAGCACTCATGCGTATATCACACAGCACTCATGCGTATATCACACAGCACTCATGCGTATATCACACAGCACTCATGCGTATATCACACAGCACTCATGCGTATATCACACAGCACTCATGCGTATATCACACAGCACTCATGCGTATATCACACATCCCGTTTGACTTTGGGAAGTAAAATGAAGAACACCTACTGTCGTGGCCATGGAAATCCGGTCGCATGTCTAGCAGCCCCAGGGCGCTGGCCATGCAGCCGTGGATAAGCGGAGCATGCGTTTTGCGCTGCAGCGCGCTTGTCGCATCGGTTCAACTTGACGTTGTGCACTGCACGCATCGTTCTGTACGCACTGAGGGCGCCGTCCGGCCTCGGTCAATCCATGCCCACCACAGTGCATGCATACATACACATGCACGCGAGACAAAATAATAATGTCATCGTACAGGAAAACTATGCATCGTTGTACAACATGCGTGCACGCATGCATATTAACTTTTTGTGTATTGTATGCAGACTGGTTCGAGGACTTTGGAACGTGATCAACATTCGACTATACGCATTGTTATCCACGGATAGCAGCAGCACTGAGATTGTGAGTTTGCAGGACATTGTGCTTGGTACTTTTGCAATAGTTCTCGATAGGTTTCTTCAACCTGCGGTGCAGTTGTGAGGACTTTTTGACCTATGCAACTGAAATAATTGAATGTTTTTGTGTGCTCCTGCATGCTCGTTGTGTTGTCACAACTACACTCTGGCTGGTCACATGGGTGTTATGTGTACTTATATACTCGTATACTTGTCCATGTATTCGTATATGAGTGTGTGTGTGTGTGCGTGTGTGTGTGTGTGTGCGTGTGTGTGTGCGTGTGTGTGTGTGTGTGTGTGTGTGTGTGTGTGTGTGTGTGTGTACGTGTGTGTGTGTGCGTGTGTGCATGTGCGCACCCGAATGTGTACATGTGAGTGTGTGTGTGTGTGTGTGTGTGTGTGTGTGCGTGTGTGTGTGTGTGTGTGTGTGTGCGTGTGTTTGTGTGTGTGTCCCATTTGTATGTGAATGTGTGTGTGTATGTGTACGTATTTGTCGTCTGGTTCCTCTTGTAGAATCACAAGTTGCTTAGCAACAGTCTGGCCGCACTGACCATGAATGAGGTAATAGTACGACTATTATGATGTCATTGGCACAGTCCTATACTGACTATTATGATGTCATTGGCACAGTCCTGGACTGACTATTGTGATGTCATTGGCACAGGCCTATACTGACTATTATGATGTCATTGGCACAGTCCTATACTGACTATTATGATGTCATTGGCACAGTCCTGGACTGACTATTATGATGTCATTGGCACAGGCCTATACTGACTATTATGATCTTAGTCTTCTTATTTTGCTATGCTGACGCATCTCCTCAGGATCATGACATTGTTGCGTTGCTCTGTTGAGTGAACTGATTAGTGTGAAACTTTAGCAACATTAGTTCCAATCTTTTCAACAATTACCTCCTATTCTAAGCCCGTACCTCCTAATCCCTTCGTGAATGGAATATGCCTAGTACGTGTCGACCAAATGTTTCAATCAATGTTTGTTTCTCTTTTATCAAACGTGTACGTTTGTCTTTCTGTTCCACAGGGAGTGATGAGTTTCTTCTGTCGAGAGCTGGGCTTTTCAATCCGCCGCTCCATGCTCCATACATCTGCATTCTTGGTGAGTTACACGTGTGTTGATAGTGTTGTATCCCATGGTGTCTTCCTAGACTACCCTGTACGTTTTGTTTGGAGACCCTGTGTGTGTGTATATATGTGTGTGTGTGTGTGGGTGTGTGCGTGTGTGTGTGTGGGGGTGTGTGTTCGCGTGCGCGTGTGCGTGTGCGTGCGTGCGTGCGTGTGTGCGCGCGTGCGCGTGTGTGTGTGGGTGTGTGTGTGGGTGTGTGCGTGTGTGTGTGTGTGTGCGCGCGCGCGCGTGTGTACCAGAATTCGACTCTAACTTTGGTTTTTAATCATCTGTGTACAGTCGAGGCCAATGAAGTTCGACCCACGCTGAAAGCAGCACCAAGGGTCATGCAATACTTCGTGGGTTCGATTGCATTAGATGACTTGCCATAACGTTAAACCTAGGCGTATGCAAAGAGTTCAACCTACGCAGAATGGTATGAACATTGCGTTTCATGACTTGCTACAATGTATCCTATGCGTACGGGAAGAGTTCAACCTACTGAGAATGGGGGGTTCGATTCCCACTCGTCGCATGAGTTTGGGAAACACCCTAGTAAAATAAAAGTTAATAATAATAATAATAATAATAACCCTCAGATGTCTTTCGACCTGTCCATGATTACGTCTGTCCCACATTTTTTTTGCAAAGACCACGTAAATGCCAAACATGAGATGCAGCTAGGAGAAGCACACACAATCTGAGCATGAACACCTCACACTCCATACAGTATGGGTCATGGGTATGGGTCATGGTTTGTAAGGACACATGCGTGCGGGCTGCATTGTGTCCTTTGTAGATTCAAAATTCCTGTTCGTCTCTTTTTACACTGGTCGCATCAATGGTGGGATTGTGTGTGTGTGTGTATGTGTGTGTGTGTGTGTGTGTGTGTGTGTGTGTGTGTGTGTGTGTGTGTGTGTGTGCGTGTGTGTGTGTGTGTGTGTGTGCATGTGTTTGTGTGCGTGTGTGTGTGTGTGTATGTTTCTCTGCAATAGGCGTTGAAGCATTTCATTGAAGTGAAAACGACATCCGATGATGGCCTCCTTCTACTATTCTTCAGCAATATCGCCAATGAGGTAATCCTCTTGAGTTCTTGCCTCTTTTGTTCCCCACTCTATACCTGTCTGTCTGTGTGTCTGTCGGTCTGTCTGTGTGCCTGTCTGTCGGTCTGTCTGTCTGTCGGTCTGTCGGTCTCTTGTTCTCTGTCAAGATTTGACTCTGATTAATACTGATAATGACGTTTCGACAACTTTATATTTAATTATTTATGGATTCCCCAAAGGCCGAGGCCAAAGTCGAGGGGGTCTCCGTTCATGGCTTACTGGGAATATATCTTTATTATTAATGTTTTATTCAGGAAGAGATGGAGACACAGGGAAGAGCAGAGTTGATACACATGTAGGGTGAGAAGAACGCCAAAGTCATGCGATACTTTCTACTAGGAGTACAGATAGTACACGAATAGAAGAAGTGATGCCGTAGCAAATGTGACTTCAACAGACTGACCCAGGGCAGTTGTTGTGATATGGTTCACCACTGAGATTTGCCTGGAGATGTCGCTTGTCCCATCTGTCTGTGTGTGTGTGTGTGTTGCTCTACGCAGACTGTGCTGACAACAGGTGCGCGTGTGCATGTCAACTTGGAGCTGTCATTGTCTGATCAACCCTGTGTACGCCTCACCGGTACGTACAAACTCACTGGTAACGGACTAGACTCAGATAGAGAGCCAAGGATTATACTCTTGGTCCTCTCTTTCTCTATTTTGATGATAGTGCTTTGCCTCTAGTCATGCAGGACATGCAGGTACAGAGCACAGAGTACATGTGCCTGTGTTGGGTACAGAGTCTCGACTGCAGCAGTAGCCTTGTCCGCCATCGATTACATTCTGTATGCTCTCGCGTTTGATTACCACATTAGTAGTAGGTAACGAGCGGGTTCTGTGCCAGGGGGCGCCCTGCCCCAAAAAATGGGGTATTATTGAAAATATGTAAAATATGCGCCCCTGGCACAGAACCCGCTCGTAACCTACTACTCACGTTTTCTCCGATCGTCGTGTATGCATCATGCCAATGTAAGCAGGAAGTGTCGCTATTCTGATGGTGTGCTGTGGCAATGTGTTAACCTTGACTGGAGAGGGCTGTTGCGGTGTGGTGGTTGTTGGTGGAGAGAGCTGTTGCGGTGTGGTGGTTGTTGCGGTGTGGTGGTTGTTGCGGTGTGGTGGTTGTTGCGATGTGGTGGTTGTTGCGGTGTGGTGGTTGTTGCGGTGTGGTGGTTGTTGCGGTGTGGTGGTTGTTGCGGTGTGGTGGTTGTGGCGGTGTGGTGGTTGTTGGAAAAAACATGGTTCATGTACTACCAGGTATAAGTGTAGAAGTCTTTCTGAAACTATCCAAGAAATGGACGAAAATTGCCACTTGGAAATCTGACGAGGAACTTCGCATCATTCTTATCCCTAGCCTTGTTTCTAATACTTGAGTATGCCCTGATGATGCCCAATGGGTGAAATATTGGCAAAGTTATTTATTTGGTGAAGCTGAGAGCCTGTTGCCGGAATGGCGGTGTTTTTAAGAAATACGCTGCGATGGAGTTTGGGAATTCTGAAGAAACGTCTTGTTTCTAATCTGAAAGAAATTATGTTCTCTTTGTATGTGTTCTGTGTCTGTGTGTGTGTGTGTGTGTGTTTGTGTGTGTGTTTGTGTGTGTGTGTGTGTGTTTAGTAAAACGTGGCGAACAGTTTGACCGTCTGAAATCCTCCAGTAAGTACCGTGTTTTCCGCAGTGTAAGCCGCATTTTGAGCACTCGAAATTTCCCTAAAAAAGGGTGCGATTTGATTTGTACTCTGATGATCAAATTAACGGTGATAATGTGGGGTAGATGTCTGTATTCCGTGGCACAAGGTGGCACAAGGTGGAGCTTAGACTCCGGAAAATTCGGTAGTTTCCCCATCACCCTACAACCGCCATCCATTGTTACTGTTTTCACAAACAGTGCAAGGTCGTAAACATTCTCACTTGTCACCAGTCAGTGCCAGGCAGTGCTTTCTCTGGTGCTGCAGCACACGTGCTGTGTGTACGTCATGCAGTTAGCTTGAACTCTGTAATACGCGACCGAGTGACAAACGTAGGTGGCACAGAACTTATAGTATACTGAAAGACTAAAGTGAAGGTAAGACTACCGAGACAACGGAAGCAAAGACTCTGCAACAACTGAGCTGGGGAACTGACAGACGGATCTATATACGGAACGAGATTGCCAGTTACAGCTCCGAGCGCCGTCGTGAGTTCCCTTCGGGAACGGACCTGATAATTTCCTTTTTTTTAATCCTTCCCTGCAGGCACTATGGTTGAGTCTTGTGGCTGCTATGAAGAATGTCGGTAGAACATTCCATGACCGAATCAAATCTTTTTCCGCTTTGTTGCACTATGCCCGTTGGCCATGATACTAATGATGTCTCTTCATTGGGTAGGAGTAATCAGGCTTACCGTTCTCATGTTGCATACTTGTGTGCACACTGATGTGTGTGTGTGTGTGTGTGTGTGTGTGTGTGTGTGTGTGTGTATGTGTGTGTGTGTGTGTGTGTGTGTGTGTGTGTGTGTGTGTGTGTGTGTGTGTGTGTGTGTGTGTGTGTGTGTGTGTGTGTGTGTATGTGTTTATGTGTGTTGTGCATTATTGTTGCACAGATGTTGAACTGGAGAGCTATGTGGAATGCTCTCTTCTACCGATGTCCTTGCGTGTGGGTGGACAGGAGCTTGAGACTTATACCAGTGTTGCTGTGGCCGGCGAAACACCACACTTCAATGCCATGTTCAATATGTAAGGAGAATACGAACTATTGTAGACAATGCATCTCTGTGTGTGTGTGTGTGTGTGTGTGTGTGTGTTTGTGTGTGTGTTGTGTGTGTGTGTGTGTGTGTGTGTGTGTGTGTGTGTGTGTGTGTGTGTGTGTGTGTGTGTGTGTGTGTGTGTGTGTGTGTGTGTGTGTGTGGCGGCGTCCTATAGTTGCTTATCAGCAACATACAAGCCTTGTGTTCATAGTTGGAGACAAATCAAAAATGCATTGGATATGTTTTCTCGCCATGCATTCTTTTATGATTCTGCTACTTCTAATGTCATTTCCGAGCAGTTTGTCTATTGCAATAGTTGAACATATCGTCGTCCTTCAAGGACAAGTATTCAGCTAACCGTAGGGAGATTAGACATGGCCTAGGTTCTTCCATCAAGACTGTTGATATGATGCACCGTCCGGGTAAATGTTACAAAAACTCGAGCATATCAGGGTTGGCGCCGCATGCTCAGGAAAATATTGCGAAAGAGGGCTGTGTGAAGCAGGGTGAAGCTTGTGTAGTAACGTGCTTTCGTTGTTCAGCCTTTTTACGAAGTGAATCAGCAATATGTTGCTGGCACGGACCCGGGCTAAATTTCCAGCATTAATCTAGCTTGCATCTCTCTCCATTATGCACGAAATGTAATCATCCCTTGTGGCTGGGTATTTCCGCTGTCTGTTCTAGACCGTTTCGCAAAGGCATGCTGATGAAGCAGCGGCTACTCCAGGAGTCGGTGCTGGTGATCTGCGTCAAGGTGTACAGCGGTGTGACGACAATGTCCGGCTCCGAGGAGTTCTATCACAACGCTGGCGTGGCCGTGTTCAAGATCTCCACTGTGGCCCACGAAGGCGTGGGTGCCGCCAGCAGCAACTACTCGTGCAAACTGGCGCTGCCCGTGCTGCGAGTCACGCGCCAAGCTAGCGCCTACGAGTTTGTCACCGAGCTGGAGAAGAGGGCTCGTCTGTCGCAGGAAGGCGCCAACATCTGGCGCACCTGGCTACCCGCCCTGAGGCCTATTTGAAGAGATTCTACCGTGCTGGCCAACGAAATCCAACCTCATGAATAAAATAGGCGTTGCCGGGCGCTACGCAGCCCTATCACCACACACACTGGCCTGTGCACTCGAACGCTGGGTTACTTTGTTCATGAGGTTGGATTTCTCTGACCAGCACTTGTACGTGGCTGAACACCTCTGTGCACACTCTGCTACCTGACTTGTATTATCCCGCATGGGGGACCAAGCATACAGGAGGCTCGCACAAGTGAAGTGTGCAAGGTTCTCTGCGTGACGTATCACTTTTCTATGCACACTCACACACACACACACACACACACACACATTCGTAGTAACCTTCAATTCAGTCCAAATCCACCGACAGCTAAAATATTGTACAATTCTATACGAGTGTTTCTATAATAGCAGCCCATAGCTCACAGTCCGAATCTGCAACCCGGAGAAGCAACATGATAAAGGAATTCTCCGCTTGAGGTATGTTTACTGCAAGCCAGGTATCTATTTGATGTCAGAGATATTTTCTAGTTTCAAGGATAGATTTTCTCACCAAATTCATTTCTGCATCCCACAGCAGCAGCACTATTTCCATGAGTATCAGCCATTGCCTGTCTAGATCATGTTTTATTCTATCAGTGATCACGGTACACTTCAGCAGCCTGATGATCGAGCACTTGACGCTCGCCATGATGATGTTACGTATTAGCTTTTCACTGTTCTGTCGTGTACGGCCATAGCGGCCATGTATTTCTGCATAACCCTCGGATATAATAATTTTTATGCTTGTATACGTTAGCCCAGCTTTGCAGTACCACCTTTGACGCCAACATAATCGGAATCACAACATTTTGTACGCAGAATTATCACCTTTTCTTCTCTGACCGGCCACTGCAATCAATCATACATGTACATCACACAGGAGATGTTGTTATCTCGTGGTTTGTTCTCGCACGTGCTCACACTTCGTAGGGGCAGTTACCATGGTTACCTGCTTAGCTATGAAATGTGGTTCATACCACCAGTACACTGATCAAAAGACCTCTGCAGTCATGGTTACTAGTATGTTTTTTTCTCATCCATTGAACATCATTATTAGAAATCTCAATCTCGTAGCATGTGCACGCATTGCTAATGTGGGGATCACCCCCAGAGACGAGGGCGATACCCAGCCATGGTAAAAGTGCAAAAGAAAACAAGAATAAAAGGACCCATCTTCAAAGTGGAATCACAGTGGTTACACGCGTACGTGTCTTCGCTATGTTTTTGTGTAGAAAGTGATCATGACAGTCTGCTGGCATTTTGACAGTGGAACAAACATGGCCGACATCATGTGACCCATAGATGCATGCAAGCATTGTCTGGCGTTGGAACCAAACTCTCCTTTCCCTTACATGGCTATGTGATAGATGTGAAGTGCAGCCTTCACTCTCAACTCACACAGTTCAAGGTGATCCCTGGTTTCTTTATCACAGGGATGTTCCTATAGGATAGACTCTTGGTTAGAGGAAAGCAAATCAGCACACGACGCACAGAAACCATTATAGTTTCGACTAGGCCTTTCGTACCATTACTATTTTACTTTTCAAGTCGGTAACAGTGGTGATTAACAAAGTAGCAAGCAAGTCTTCGCTTTCTTGATATTGGGAAACTTGCACGTTAGAATCTGCGAAGTAAAATAAACAACAACAACAACAAGTCCTGATAACCGGCACTTTGGCACTTATAGGATAACAACATTATTGACGATATGCACTCATTTCCATGGTATTACTTCAACGCCTACATTAACTTTACGCAAACAGGTACCAAAGAGAAGGGAGATCACTTCAAATCAACTATTGCACGACATGGTGTACCTTGCTGGCACTTGCCATAGCTGGTCGTTCTGTACGCTGGTGATGATGTTCGTTGGTTAAAAAATTATATTGCATCTTACAGCTACACATGTACTATCACACCATTAGTGGACATCAGCACAAGATTGCACATCATGTGCTGGAACAGAAAATGCTGGAATGCTCCCGGTTTAGTAATAATTGTACAAAGTCAAAGGATAGCTCAAAGGATATTATTAATAGAATATTGTTTCTTGTGTCACTGGCGATGCCTATGTTGTTGCCATGCAATATCATGCCTGACCCAGTTGAACTAGTGATGTTGATGCTGCTACTCGTCCACTGATGTCTGATACTGCGGTTCGCAGGAGCTTCGTCTCTCCACATGTCCCGGTAGAAACGTGCTGGAACTGAAACACGACTCTGGCATGTTATCCCAGTTGCAGTGGGATTGCGAACAGCCTAAACTACGCCTTTGGTCCTCGCTATAACCTGTTGGGAATACGCTGCTCTCGCTTGCATTGGAGTTTGTAGATTGGATGTGCTGACGTGCGTAACTGCGTCGCTTGGCATCAGCACTGGACGGAGTGGAAGCCTGGCTGCCCCGCTTTTCAGTGCTATTGCCAGTATTGGCAGTATTGCGTGGTGGTGGCCCACGTGACTGGCTGGAAACTGCCATGTTGCCGGTGGGTTGTCTGTAGTGTGTACTGCTGCTGGTGAAAACCATCGACGACGTAGGGTCGGTGCTGCTTCGACGTAGCTGGGTCACACCGGAAGAGATGCGCGAGCTTATGTTAGTTCCAACGGTCATCCACGCCTTGCGTACCTTGACATCGCGGAAGATATGCAGAAAGATGAAGACTCCCTGGAGTGTATTGAAAATGGCGAACAAATACTGCAACACCAGTGTGTCGTAGAAGGTCACAAATATACCAAGCCCCCATGTCATTCCGAAGAGGACTGACATTGCCACGACCGAGCGCAGCATTCGCAGAGCTCGCGAACGCGGACCTTGTGAGTTCACGCTCTTTTGTTTAGCGCTGTTCCGGATAGAGCGCACGACAGCCACGAGCACGACTGAGTTGTAGATGAGTGACAAGCCGGTGGGTGCAACAAACGATGCGTCCAACACAGGTAAGTTATTTATCCAGCAGCTGAAAAGGAGAAGCAAAGAGAAAGTCGGATTGAATGGATATAATCAGGCTTGGGTAGGATTGGCTCGATCATTTCTGACTTGTAGATTAATTGGGAAGACTCAAATGCAGCATCATAATTATATTATATTATATCATGGAAGAAAAATGGTGGAGAAACACACATGTGGGCTGCCCTCTATACCTCCATATCGCCATGGATATGTGTTGCTATTGATACGTTTGCAGTTAGGTGCCTGACTCTGGCTTTCAGAAATGATTTTTGTTATTCCTGCCATGTTTGACGTCATCTCTCTCTACGGCAGTGGTGCGTCCAGATAGGACAAATGTTGGGTATAACTATAAGTGTCCAACAAAGATCAATATTAACTTTTCTATTTTTAAGTTTACTTCGTCCAGTATGACCGCTACAGTATTCACTTCAAAGATCAATATAGAATGCATCCAGTTCAATTCTAGTTGTGAAGTGAGGTGGCGCTATGCTTACAAGTGATCATTGCCATAGGCCTGCATCTGTGTTATGCCGCATGTTAACGCCACTATGGTCAGAGGAACAGCTGTACGCAGAACAACAGAACAAACAACAATCATGAAATGGCCGATACTCACTCACTCTACGTTCAGTAAAACTTGAAAACCAATGAACTTTTTTTAAATACTTCGGCCAGTTGGCTACTATCATTAATTTCAGTCTTGGGGTTAGACAAGGGGAAGTAGCCATCTAGGGGCGCCTTTCGGATACTATGCGTTCGCTTGTAAGCCGTAACACTTTCTGTTTCACCATAATCAATTAATGAGGGTGCAGAACCAGTTTTCTGTCAGGCAGTTGTAATGATTGACAGCTTTGTTATCCCTACGTTTCATTGGGTCTAGTTGCTGGCATCCCACTCGCGGAGAATGCCAAAAAACAGGTTCTGGTTTTACCTTTTCTGTGACATTAATTTTATTGAGAAAACGAACAGTACCAATACAAAGACTAGCCCACCTGCTGCAGCGATTCTCAGTTTCTTCATCAGCTTGACCTTATCAGCACCGACCACCTTCACCAGCTGATAATAGAGGAGTGTGGCGTCAGCCGATGACCACGACAGTGTGGACAGCAGAAAGAAGTGTATGGCCACCGCTATTGTTTGGCAAAGTATCTTGTCGGATGTTCGTCTGATGGCCGTGACAAACACGACTAACGCCAAGAACAGCATAACTGCCATGGTGAAGACCAGCTGAAAGTGACTGTTGCGACGCATTGATCTAAGCAAGGAGCAATAGCAAATACGTGGGAATAAATAGAATCATTGCTTGGAGAGTCGAGACCAATCACGAGTTCTGCAGCTCCCAGAAACATTTGAAAAACAAAGCGGGAAAGGTTATGCATCCTTGCCCGCTCAATATTCACACACGTTATTGGGTCTTTAGGCCAGTCCACCTAGCCCATCCGTCCAGGGTCAGGACATTTACATGTATGTATTTATGCAACATCTCCTGACTGGCCGAGAGGCTGCCAATATTGAGAAAAAGGTGAAGGGTGGCAACCAAGTAAACCAACCAACCAACCAACCAGGGCTTACTAGAACCACACTGTACATTTTAAAATGAGAGGGAAAAGAGAGAAGAGGACGAGGAGTGCTGAGAAAGGATGGCAGGATCAGTGAGTTACACGTGGAGAGAGAGAGAGAGAGAGACAGACCGACAGACAGACAGACAGACAGACAGACAGACAGACAGACAGACAGACAGACAGACAGTCGAAGACAGAGACAGAGAGAGAGAGAGAGAAGGGGAGAGAGATTTTGAGAGAGAGAGCTAATAACTTATGGAGTGTGAGTTGGAATTGTTAGAGCAGGCCACACCGAAATAGCCAATGCATTCTGATTCATGATCACTTTCGTACTTCCGAAAAAGAGCTTGAAACTGATTTCCTCAAACACGCAACAATGATAGCTAACACGTACCTAACAGCCACTATGGTCACCATGGTAACTAGCAGACAGAGTGCAGACAGTGTGCAGCCGGTGTAGGAGACGATGCTGAGCACTCTCTGTGCGAGCGGGGCTGGAGACGACTGGTCTATCACAACTCTAGTGGACTGAGCGAAATGCACGGCGCGGTGACGTCACGTGAAGCAGGTTTAAAACACATCACATTACATGGAAGCAAAGTAATTAGTTGAACATCTCCGTCCGCGTTAGAATCCATCACTCGGACTGCACTTTCAATACTAGCGTGGCTTTCACAAACAATGTTGTTATTACCCTCTCCCTCGCTGTTGTACATGTAAATAAGCGGCTCGTCGGGGATATGTCAATCATTATCATACAAGTGCAATAAAGAAAATAAGAGATGCACCCATGGCCAGGCAACAACGAGGTTTTAAGAATTTTAAGAATTTTACTATTCAAAATCGATTTTCGCGTTCGTTGTTGTTTGGCCATGTCTGCATCTCTTATTTTCTTTATTGGACTGAAAAAATTGCTTCTCCAAGCCCACTCTTCTAATAGTATCATACAATGTAATATGAACGACGGCACACAACCAATTCTTGACTTCACTACCTACATGTACATGTACATTGTATATGGCACTCACCAGGAGAACTGCAAAGCTGGTCAGGTGATAGCAGTGACAGAGAACAGTAGACGTACTGTTGTCAATGCCTGAGAGAATACATCCATCTTCGCTCCAACCTCCAGACGGCGCTAAGCCATGGTACATGCATCATACACACAGTAGTGGAACGGATACACAATCAACGCTACAATGCTACTAGGTAATATGAATACAGTATATGGTCCACCCCCTTTTGGGATTCGCTCGAGTTCAACGACGTCAGAATACGTTCACATGCTGGTCATGGATAACCAGATGGCATTCACTTCCCCAATCGATTAGATTCACATACAACATTTTGTTTGTGCACACAGTCGCCGTGTATTTACTCTCACACATGCATGGACATAAAGGAAGAATGCAAAAATTAAAATAATAGTTTGTTATTATTGAGCCCGTGACCTTGTGAACCATACACACGCAAGTGAATGATTCTCGCACTTTCTTACGTTTATCAAAGTCCCAGTACACGCAGGAGGCGTTCAGCGTTTCCAGGTCTGCATGCCACATATCCGACGGAATGCGAAAGGACACATTGACAGGCGCTGACAGATTCTCGACAGGCTCATCAGCACCCACAACTTCAGAGGCAATCACCCAGCTGAGGTTGATGTCAGGATGGATACTGGCATCTTTGAATAGCGTACTGACTCGATACACGATAAAATATATTGTTGGGGTGGCACTGGTGTTCCCGATATCATTGTCTGTGGCATTTCCTTGTTGGAAAGCTTCACGCGGTAAGTCAATTGCAATGCCTGATTCATGGTCTGAGGCTGCAGGGGAAGATTATGTTAGAAAACAACATTGTCTTGAGTCAGAGGAAAACGGCCCTGGAGTGGACATATTCATATGTTAGATCCGATATCCGAGGAAAATTCCCTGCACTTCGGGTAGATGTCTGGATGACATGCTATATCCCTGTCTGCAGGCCGTATCCATGTACCCTTTGTGCCTGGCAACAAGTTCCCAGTTGACTGTGGGTAGCAGACTCAAGTGATGGCACCAAACTTAAAACATTGTCCAGTATCAAATGAACCGATTTGTAATATTTGTAATTTGTATTGTACTTGAATAAAATTGTATTTTACCTTTCATGATATCTCTATTTTTCACGTCTTCATGACTTTATCTTGCCCGTAAAAGAGGCCGTTACCCCGCAAACAAAGTTGTAATCGTCACAAGCACCCCTGACGCGTTCTCACATTCAACACTTGGATTCCCGGCAGAGAAATGCACGCCAGACAATGTATCCACTGGTGCTGACGTCGCCACAAGATCAATGTTGTCTCCATGCAACGTAATACTGTCCATATGTGTGCTGAAGTTGCTGGACCTTGCCAATGTAGAACCGAGACGTTCTAATGAGTGAACAAACCTGGGACAACAAGAGACAATACATTGAGTTGTTAAAAGTATCGATCATTACGGTGTCTGGCAAACACGACTTAGCTCTGGCACACGACTTTATGATTGTTGCGAAGTGACTGGTTAATACATTTTCTCATTCCATAGTACGATGTGTGTTTCAATTCACTATTACACCTCGAAAGACATATGTCGCCAATTTCTAGTGTTCTACATCCAATGAAGACGTATATGACATTAATTTTTGTGTTTGATCATTCGATATCCCAAGGCCATAGTTATAGAGGGTTTGCATGAAGCTGAACGAATGAGCCCAAAGTGTGGACTGTAAGCCAATACAATGGTTTAAACTACCGAGACATTCCCTCGAATTAGGACCATTTCTCTTTGAGATTGGTGTTAACATACTCTTGTCCAGTTTGTGCCTTGACGTTTTCTGGTGGAACACTGAGAATATTGCCAACTGTCGATACCAAGTCAGTGGACAACTGAGCATGGATACACACACGTGCGCGTACACACGAACATACACACGCACACACAAACACGCATACAAACAAAACATACAGTGCTAGCAACTGAAATCCGACCCCCGAGCGGTGCGTTCACATTCTAGCGGTCTCTATTTCGCAGTGGTGCAATCCTGTTTTGGGTCTTTGCGATCTGAGCGCACTGCTCAGGGGTCGGATTTCAGTTGCCTGCCCTGTACTGGTCACCACGCAAGCGCAAGCCCATACACAAGCAAACAAACAAACAAACGCACATACATGTACATGTACCTACATAATTGTTAGATTGACAGCATGAAACAAGGAGGAGGACACTGTGTTCGAAACACAGTGACCTTACTACAGCCTTCCGCGGTTGGCAGAGCCCCGGTCCCTGCGGACCATTTGAACCATATGGGTATCGCACCCGGTTCTGACCCTCGTTATGCTAGGGGGTTAGGAGACTACTCCTGATGTCGTCTTGTTGTCTTCGCTCTTTTTCAACTTGTATAAAAACTTCTTTTTCTTTTTCTTTCCAACTTCTGCCCATCAAGAGTAGTTTCCTAACCCCCTAGCATAACGAGGGTCAGAACCGAGTGCGATACCCATTATGGGTCGAATGGTCCGCAGGGACCGGGGCTCTGCCAACCGCGGAAGGTTGTAGTAAGGTCACTGTGTTTCGAACACAGTGTCCTCCTCCTTGTTTCATGCTGTCAATCCAACAATTGCGTGAACTACAACAAGGTTTATCTAATACTGGTTTACCAGTTTTCGATTATATCATACGTACCTACATGTACAGAAACTAAAAACTAAATTAATTTTTCCAACGTTCGTTCTGAATAATTATACAAACGAGTAACACACCGGTGAGAATAATGCCTATATCAAGCGACGCACGCAAATATATACAGTATTAGCTGCACGCCGAAACACAAGTGAGATGCGTGAACTGTCTGTGTTTTGTGTTTTACAGCCCTCACCTTCAAAAGCGTGGTGAACGCCACACCAGTCGTATCACTTGGTTTAGTTGCGTTGGTCGTGTTTGACGTATCTGCTACAGCCGCTTCTGTGGGACTGGCAACGTTCACAACACCCTTTACTACTGTGGATACATCTGTCAAGAGGTTTGGTGTCAGCTTGTCGGCTTCTCCAGTCAAGCCTTGCAGTGCCGACGTGGCGAGCATCAACTCGCCTTCGCTCAATTGCATCAGATCAATCTGGATAAAAAAATGCGACACCCGGATATCTTTTCAAAATACATTCAATTCAAAACTCTTTTATTTCATGGGCAAAAACGTAATCTGAAGAAGCCTTGCATGAATCTACCAGTCACAGCAGTGGCTATCTGCAGCCCAATCGAATGAATTGTCCTCTATGATGGTCTGTCTCTTCTCTTCTCTTCTCTTCTCTTCTCTTCATGTCTCCTCTATAGCTCATCCACATACGCAGGGTAGCGCATGCATCATGATATCACGCCAGTGCACACACATTATCAGCCTATCGTCTGTGTAACAATAATCGACGCACCTGCAAGAGAAGCTCCACGCTTATTTCTAGCAATGCGATACACTCTGCAACCTGCTGTGCGTCAGCCGGGGCCCATTCACTGGTCGTATCATCCAATCGAGTACAGTGGCGAGAGATCCCTAGCGGCTCTGCCGAATAGTTCTCTATCGAGTCGGCCGTGACAGTACCACTGGAAAGAGCCAGGACGGAGAGCGGACAAGGCTGAGTTACCGTCTCATTACCGCTAGTGGTATTCCACATAAGATCACCGAACAAGTGTGACGTCATGTCGTCAAGGCAACTAGGGACGAACACAGCTGCAGAGGTAACAGCAAACAATAGGTTATCGTAATTATATATTTATTACAACATCTCAAGACTCGGTGGAAACACCGGCCAATGTTAAAGAGAGTGGGTGATTGCCAACCACGGCGATAAATAAAAGTAAGGGGAGGGAAAAAGAAAGAGTAGCAAAATGAACAGCAACAACTCCGTAAAGAAAGAGAAAGATAATGTCAAATAAAAACAGTGAAAAACACAGAGACGCAAAGGACATGTGGATAATGAGCTATGCATGTCGTAGTAAATAAGGGGCGGCACGGATCTTAAACAGGCGGAGTGAGGTCAGGTCCTTAACTTCTCTGGGTAGAGTGAGCCAAACAGAATAAGCAATAAAGAGAGGGGAGCGCAAAAGAGTGGATGAGTTACACTTAGGGAGTAAGAGTGAGTTTCTAGTTCTTAGAGAAGAGAACCAATTAAAACACATGAGATGAGGTGGGCACAACTCAAGCTTAATAGAATGGACAAGAGAAGCCAGGTGTGCACTGCGTCCATGTGATAACGGGGTTGTGTGAGCGATTTTATAAAGGGCGGATGATGAGAGCATGCGGGGTTGACGGAGGAGAATTTTAAGGATTTTCTTGTGATGTATTTCAAGCTTTGCAGCAGCGGAAGAGGATAACCCAACCCAAGACGTATCTGCATAATGAAATATTGGGCGAAGGTAGGCGAAATAAAAAAGAAGCTTGCAAGAAAGTGGGAGGTAGGAGCAGTGGGGGGAGAGAATTCCTAAGGATTTACTTGATTTTTTACAGATATATTCGATGTGAGGTACCCAAGAGAGTGTAGTAAAAAAAAAAAAAGTAAATTATCGTATCCGTTCCCGAAGGGAACTCACGACGGCCGCTAACACCCGATAAACCCTAGCGGCAGATGCAGCGCCTAACGGTGGGGGTGAGTGGGTAAGCCTCACAACCACTGGCACAAGTGCCGAAAACGACCCCATTAGCTGCATCCATGTACCCCTTGTGCCTAGAGAGTGTAGAGTCAATCACAATGCCAAGGTGTTTGTGAGAAGACACTATGTCAATTGGATTTGGAAAGTTGGCATGGATGAGGGTTGTGAACTCCGGCTGGGGCGGGAAGAGCATGATCTTTGTTTTTGATAGATTTGGGGACAACCTCCAGGACGACATCCAGGAAAGAACTTCCTGAATGCCAGCACGCAAGGTGTTTTTCAGGCCAGTGAGGGAAGCTGATGAGGTGAGAAGGGTCGTGTCGTCAGCAAACAGAGACGTTCCAGGGAAGACTGCAGGTAAGTCGTTTACGTAAATTATAAATAGTAGGGGACCAAGAATTGATCCTTGAGGAACGCCCGACAATACTGGCTCTGCAGCCGAGGATGTGCCAAGCACAGTTACGTACTGATAACGCCCAGAGAGATAAGATTTCAGCCAGGAGAGTGGCTGTTTGCGTACCCTGAATGCATGCTCGAGCTTTGCCAAAAGTCCTCGATGCCAGACGGTATCAAAAGCCTTGGCCAAGTCAAAGAAGCAAATGCCAGCAAGCGCTCTGTTATCCCTATGCTGGCACACCTGCTGCACGATGCGGGTCAGTTGAAGAGAGGTGGAGTCGCCTTTACGAAACCCAGATTGTGCGGGACTCAGAATTATGGGCCGTCCGTAAATATCGAACTTTGTTCACCAAACGAATTGTTTTAGTTTAGACCCAACCCCTCCCTCCCTCCCCCTCAGAACGTAAAAAAGTGTTGATGTATGCATGCATATACAACAAAAGTCGCAAGTGTGCCACTGCTCCTGTGGCCATGTACATGTATCGAAGTTTTCTGAAACGAAATTGGTCAACCCCCTCCCACCCCATAACAAAATTATTTCGTTTCGTGAAAATTATGGACGACCCCTTAGTTAACGCACTCTGTGTAAGCGATTGTTTTTAACAGCTACATGTACAACGTTGAGAGAGAATAATTAGCAACCTGCCTTCGTACTATTGTAAATTTTACTCAGACGAAAACACGTAATTGTACTTTTTTTATTAAGTATTTCACAGTTCGCGTGAGACTCGGCTGGAAACCGAGTTTTCCGCATCCATATGTACTTCAAAGTACAGTGCCGGCAACTGAAATCCGACCCCATGGGCGGTGCCTTCACTTTCTAGCGGCCTCCATTTCGTAGTGTTACGATGTGAGCGCACCGCTCAGGGGTCGGATTTCAGTTGCCAGCACTGTAGGTGAAATGTTAGTTTCTGTCATAGATGATTCCATAATTGTACACTTATATCTCCTTACGTGGTATTATCACGGGGCAAAACGCTCCTGACGAGTTAACAGTAATGAGTGTGGGTTCATAGCAAGTTCCGGAGGCTGCAAATGTGCTACTAAGTCGATTGGCGGCAGCTGCGGAGATTGTACTACTCAAAGTGCTAGCATTGCGCGAGCAGGGTGATATTCCAATGTAGGGCTGTTCAGCTTGACCCTGGCATTGGCACTTTTTCAGACGGTACTGTCCGCAGAGGGACTTGAGATTGCGTCGGCATGACCACCTCTCGCAGAGTACGACAATGTTGGTGTAGATTGCAGGCGAGTAATCCATGCAAGCGTAGCCGTGTCCACCGACACTGTAACAATCCCTCTTTCCCACGTGACAGGTGCCTGCACATTGTATAGAATAGTCACAAAAGACACCGATAACCTTTGTCTACAATGCCAGTGGTGCAAATACATGTACAGTAAAACCTGTAACTAAAGACCACCGTGACTAGCGACCATCCTGGTACTACAGTAAAACCTGTAACTAAAGACCACCGTGACAAGCGACCAGCCTGGTACTACAGTAAAACCTGTAACTAAAGACCACCGTGACTAGCGACCAGCCTGGTACTACAGTAAAACCTGTAACTAAAGACCACCGTGACTAGCGACCAGCCTGGTACTACAGTAAACCTGTAACTAAAGACCACCGTGACTAGCGACCAGCCTGGTACTACAGTAAAACCTGTAACTAAAGACCACCGTGACTAGCGACTAGCCTGCTACTACAGTAAAACCTGTAACTAAAGACCACCGTGACTAGCGACCAGCCTGGTACTACAGTAAAACCTGTAACTAAAGACCACCGTGTCTAGCGACCAGCCTGGTACTACAGTAAAACCTGTAACTAAAGACCACCGTGACAAGCGACTAGCCTGGTACTACAGTAAAACCTGTAACTAAAGACCACCGTGACTAGCGACCAGCCTGGTACTACAGTAAAACCTGTAACTAAAGACCACCGTGACTAGCGACCAGCCTGGTACTACAGTAAAACCTGTAACTAAAGACCACCGTGACTAGCGACCAGCCTGGTACTACAGTAAAACCTGTAACTAAAGACCAGGCACCGTGACTAGCGACTAGCCTGCTACTACAGTAAAACCTGTAACTAAAGACCACCGTGACTAGCGACCAGCCTGGTACTACAGTAAAACCTGTAACTAAAGACCACCGTGACTAGCGACCAGCCTGGTACTACAGTAAAACCTGTAACTAAAGAACACCGTGACTAGCGACCAGCCTGGTACTATAGTAAAACCTGTAACTAAAGACCACCGTGACAAGCGACCAGCCTGGTACTACAGTAAAACCTGTAACTAAAGACCACCGTGACTAGCGACCAGCCTGGTACTACAGTAGAACCTGTAACTAAAGACCACCGTGACTAGCGACCAGCCTGGTACTACAGTAGAACCTGTAACTAAAGACCACCGTGACTAGCGACCAGCCTGGTACTACAGTAAAACCTGTAACTAAAGACCACCGTGACTAGCGACCAGCCTGGTACTACAGTAAAACCTGTAACTAAAGAACACCGTGACTAGCGACCAGCCTGGTACTATAGTAAAACCTGTAACTAAAGACCACCGTGACAAGCGACCAGCCTGGTACTACAGTAAAACCTGTAACTAAGACCACCGTGACTAGCGACCAGCCTGGTACTACAGTAGAACCTGTAACTAAAGACCACCGTGACTAGCGACCAGCCTGGTACTACAGTAGAACCTGTAACTAAAGACCACCGTGACTAGCGACCAGCCTGGTACTACAGTAAAACCTGTATCTAAAGACCACCATGACAAGCGACCAGCCTGGTACTACAGACAACTTCGCCAGGCACTGACCGTCTCACATTTTATAAAATTATAATAATGTTGTGCGGTGCAAACCTCTAACTAAGGATCACCTGCCAACAAAGACCGCTTTCTCTGGCCCCAAGGGGAGGGGTCGTTATTCACAGGTTTTACTGTATGTCATACAGCCATCAAAGGCGAGCATGACATTGGAATGAATGAGGGTGCCTCCACTAGAAAGCACGACGCCCGCAGTGAGCGGGGGGGGGGGGGGGGGTGAACTAGAGTTGGCCCGAAGACGTAAACCAATCACGTATTGTGGCAGAGACGCATTCACGCTACTGAGGTTTGAAACAAGACGGAGCTCCACTCATAACCGAGGCCCGTAAAATTTTATAGTTTGTGATAATAGTGTAGCTCCTTAGTTTCGTTTGGTAGACATTTCAAAGCTGTTGGAAGGACACTTTTGCAAATACAATAATAATTATTATACATCAGTATGGCACGTAAAAGAAGCTGTATCCACAATTAACACAGACTGCACCTACTGTTTTCAAGGTAGTGGACCACCCGTTTGTCAAACGAAGGAAAGGCAGATGAAGGCGGTAGGATCCAGCACAGACCTTGTCCAAGTTCAAGGGGATTTTCTTCGATGAACCTGATAGGGTGAAGAAGGCAATCCATTTTATTTACTCGGCCACAGATCCACAGTAATAACGGATAATACCCTTCGTTCAGCATACAATACATTTTGCGCTCTCCTTGATGGACGAAAAACAAAGCCAGGAAAATGAATAGAGCCAAAGAGGGAGAGAGACAGAGACAGAGAGAGAAAGAAAGAAAGAAAGAAAGAGACAGACAGACAGACAGACAGACAGACAGACAGACAGACAGACAGACAGACAGATAGATGGACAGACAGACAGACAGACAGACCGACAGACCGACAGACAAACACACAGACACACAGACACACAGGCAGACACACAGACAGACACACAGACAGACAGACCGATAGGCAGACAGACAGACAGACAGACGAACGGGGAGGGAGGCAGAGAAGTCAGAGGGAGACAGATATTTCTTATTCTCGATATTCTTTCTGGAGCACCAATAGTGACCAGCAAGGGTGATGAAGTATGCAAGGATATGAACTACTGTGAAGTATACACAATCTGCGGACAGCATACAGCATGCTGTTTAGTTCTTTGTCAACTCCTCAGCGCAGCACAGAGAAAATGAGGCCGAACCTGATAGCAATGGAAATAAAATTACCAAAGCCAGATTAGCAGCAGGCCCGAACGTACCTTGCCATGCAGAGTGCTCAAACTGACAAGTCTAATGTTAAGGGGGCAGCCTACCCATAAATTTCATATGGCATTCAATTGACCGTAACTTTGGTGTTTCTCAGTGGATTTGAGTGAAATTTTGACCACACACTCCTGCCACTATGCTGGCCCTCAGGACATGATTTACAAGTTCTTGCGCCTCACTGACAGGCTTTCCAGGCCGGAAAAACTCAAATTTCCGGCATAGTGCCACGGTGTGCGAGCCACCCAGGAGTCAAACAAGTGCATTTACATTTTTTCACATTTTCGTGCCCATTCTGTCCGTGCGCGGGACCCAAACCTAAAACAAGTCCAGAAGCAGCCATGGGTGGTGGGGTAGGGCCCCTCAACGTGGCCCTGGAATCTGTCACAACGGAACGAGTGGGCGTTCTCTCGCGGACTCCCACAGACCCAAGTCAATTTTTGAATTTTTTAGGTTTAGGGTGTGCTACGAGGTCGTACCTTTGATACAACATCCAGTGCTGGGACCTCCACAGCAAGCCATTTCCACAGCGCTGCACACCAAATCCAGGATGCCCTCAGAAACCGGCAAAGACTGCCACTCACGTTTCACTACTGCCTAGTACTGAATCCTACCTGACTTCTTGACACGACTCAAACTTGCCAAAGTCACTAAATCAACGTCAACTACAATAATCAAGCCACATATCTGCAACGTCACGAGGGTGCTGGCAAAAGTCCTGCTGCACGGCGGCGGGCTTCGCCCGCCGCCGTGCAGCCCAATACGTGGTTTTTTAACGTGATTTTTTGGACTTTTTTGGACTTAAGGGAAAATTCTGCACACTTTCGCGTGTTTCCATAATACGACAAGTTGCGCACGGTCTGCTCACATTCAAATACAGTGCTGCCAACAAATGACAGCATGCAACAAAAAAATCTTTCCTTGCAAGGGCACATTTTCGGCCATAACTCTTGAACGGCTGGTCAGATAGGGACACAATTTTCAGAGAATTTGCAGCTATTCATGCTCTTTCAACTGACGTAGCACTCAATATGAATTTACAAATTCGATTTTTCAGCGAATTTTTGGGTAGTCTGCCGCCTTAAGTGTAAGTAACAAATGACAGGGTGCGAGGTCCACAGGCACGTTCCAGAAGGAAATTGAAGAGGTCAGCTAGTACAAAAAATAGTAGACATAATCTGTCTACACGTGGCTAGGTTATTTGAACCACCAGTCCAGTTCATACGAACACATCCTTCCAACGCCAGTAGTAAATCTTACACTTTGACGAGCCGAGGTGCAAGTGCGAATGTCATGGCTGGTAGATGGGAAATGAAGTTGCCATTTAGATTTCTGAAGAAAAAGAACAATGAGAAATAATGATGCAGTCTGCGTAGAATCAATAGTGACGTGTTCTTCCAAGTATAAAAGCAGTGAACCTGGATAATTTCTATTGATGATTGCCTCATGATGCAGTCATTCACGCTTTGCACTGCCGCCATTCACAACTTTTAGATTTGCGCCATGCTGCAGCTATTTACACTTTGCTTTGTGAGCATATAAACCAATACTAAACCAATACTGATCCAGATTTCTCATTACTGTTAACTTTACTGATGATCGCTTAGTGCGTGAAACTCGGAGTAAAAACACTTTCTCTGTCCTCCTATTGTTTCATGATTGACTAATGTCAGATCATCGGCAAAATAATCATCTCACACCAGGAGCCACCAACGGCACCAGACCCAGAGAGGATGGAAAGGTTGAACGAGTCACTGAGGTGTGAAAGGAAGGAAGGACTCAATGAGTCAGGCGTCTGCCGTCAAGAGTCACTTGTCAGACAATGGGAGATGTCGTGAATTGTATACAGATCATGCTTTTCCTATCGCGACTCCCAAGCTGTGGTTGGCCTTCACCCCGTCCCCTTTGATTGGCAACTACAAGCTATGGGATGTGGAATTTAAAAAGGAATCGTGGCACATCTTAGTTCCTTCTTCATGTCTTGAAAGCATCGTACATTAGTAAGATGTCCCCTGAACTATGTGTTCAAAAAGAGAATGTGTGTGGTCTTTGCAGTTAGTTTGCGCCAGTGCTCGTGCGTATGTGAGTGATACATGCACCACGTGACGTGTGATTCTACCTTTTTTCTTTTTCAACTTCTGAGTAAATGTGCCATTTCAGTCACTGATTTCCACCCCTTTCATTCTCGCTCCGGGATGTGTTACATTGTATTATCACGCTGGCTCAATTCACTGTACTTGATCAGATTTCTGTTTTTTCCTCTCGAGGAGGCATTTCTAAGAAAGTAGAATCAGCATGTGCACTCTACTTGTAGGAACATGTGAATAACATGTACAGTAAAACCTGTAACTAACGACCACCGTGACTAGCGGCCAGCCTGGTACTACAGACCACCGTGACTAGCGACCAGCCTGGTACTACCGACCACCGTGACTAGCGACCAGCCTGGTACTACCGACCACCGTGACTAGCGACCAGCCTGGTACTACCGACCACCGTGACTAGCGACCAGCCTGGTACTACAGACCACCGTGACTAGCGACCAGCCTGGTACTACAGACCACTGCGCCAGGCACGGACGGTCTCACATTCACATAACATAATGGTTATGCGGTACAAACCTCTAACTAAGGACCACCTGCCACTAAAGACCGCCTTCTCTGGCCCCAAGGGGTGGTCGTTAGTCACAGGTTTTACTGTATACACATGGCAGGTTCCAAATGTCGATCTTGCCTGCTTCAACAACAAATTGTGCGCAGGAACTGCTTCGCAGTGCACAGGAAATGCTTCGCTGTGTGCTCTCGGGTGATTTCCAGTGAGCACGAATTTCGGACTCGACACACGTTCTCAGTCCGGCATACTGGCAATACATGTACTCCATGTGTGACATTGCACAGGGCGATTTTATGACATTAGACGGTATTTACAGCCATTTTATGACATTAGACGGTATTTTACAGCCACTATTAACTTAATTAAAAAATAAAATTAAAAAAACATTGCACAGGGCTAATGCACAGAGTACGTAGAGAACAGGTAGCTGTACTCGTTAGTCTAGATTGAAAAGTAGGCTTCATAATAGAACGATCACCACACATCCTATCATAATTATAAACTCCGGGTAGCAAATACAGCGTGCCCTCATCTACTGTGTAGCATAGCTGGAGACGTACATGACATGCCCCACCGTCACTGCTGCGTCTCGGTGCAGCCCCTACTCAGTACTTGTCACGTTTGTCCTAGTCTCAGTACCATTGTCTTTCATTAATATTATTAATTTTACGAGTTGGGTATATTATGTGAACGTAGTAAAAAAACACACGCAAACGCACACACGCACACACGCGCACACACACGCACACACATTGTACATGAGCGATTACGTATTAGTAAGGTTGTGCACCTCGTGATACATCGAGTCTTACAGTGCGCGTAGGTTGGTGAGGTTTGAAAACGCCGCCTCGTGCACATAGACAATTTTGTTATGGTCAAGATATCTGCAGTGAAAACAAACAGTGGTTCAGGAATCATTCAGTAACAGATACACAGCATCGTTGTCTGATGATTGGTTCAGGAATCACTGAGCAATAGATACACAGCATCGTTGTCTGATGATTGGTTTAGCCATGAAACTCCGAGTCACAACGGAATTCGCCAAGGTTTTCATTGTGTGCCTTTGAGTACATATAATAGATATAGGCACAACAGAACAACAAGGACAATCAAGGCTTGTTTGCTGCTACTTTAAGTTTCATGCTTACGCAATCATGCCTGATGATTGCGTAAGCATGAAACTTAAAGTAGCAGCAAACAAGCCTTGATTGTCCTTGTTGTTCTGTTGTGTATTACGCTCTGCCTTTGTGGTGTTGAGCACTGTCAAGCACTCTGGGTACATCCTTCGGTATAATAGATATAGGTAATGTTCGTAGAGCACTGCGGGTCTAATGGGCAAAACAATGTCCCTTCTTTAACTTGGACTGTTTGCTTTGTTGGACGCTCACACTCAAAGTTGGATGGGTGACGAGTATTTATTTCACTAAGAAGTATAATAATAGTTATAGTTCGCATGTAACTCATGGAAGGATCCATGGGCTTAACGAATCTGTCAATGAAATCCAGGCAGAAGAGCCAACAAATGGCATCTCAATTATTGTTAGAATGTATCGCAGTAAGAAAAACTAGTCATGTATTTCACTACTCCGAGATTAAATGCTTTTACGCAATTTCCAGAAGACTCTGGTCAAAAGACTGAGTAATCTGTAGCCAATTTCCTAACAAAATTATAGCACCCGATAACGATAATTTTGGAATCTCTTATATTGTGAAATTGGCCTATACTCAGCAAAAAACTCTCATGACACTTTTAAAATGGCGATTCTACCCATTAAGATCACAGAATATCGTATTTTGAGGAGTATACCTGAGAATGATGCGCGCCCCTGTAAATAAATTTTAGAAATGTCGGAACATGTTTCATGTTTTACTAGGGCCGAGCCCAGAGGCGATTTGCCTTCTCAGGCTACCCTAACCAATCTAAGATCAATTTCATTGCGGAATATGGACAGTGATGAAGTGGAGCGAACATCGGGTGGAAGGCTATAATAATACTAAACGAGGGTGACTTACAACTGTGTCAGTCTGGGTAGGAAACCCAACGAATCGCTGGTAATCCTTGAAATTGCATTGTTCGTCAAGTGCCTGCATGAGAAGTCCATTGTATAAATAGAGACACTGGTGTTAGCGATGCATCTGGGAAACATATCCGTACCTAAGATAGCATCATCATTTTTACACCAGTACAAGTACTTCAGTAGGTACAAAGACAACTCATTTCCTAGCAAAAGTGGTGCCCGATACATATCCATTCGATAAGACGGTGCTCTCAGGAACTCAGGAACTCCGGGGGCATGGAGAGGCTAAGGAGCATGGCAAACAATCGGAAGGAGTGGTGGGCCCATCCTACCAGATATATCCTCGGAGACAGTCCCAATCAAAATTTCTATTCTGTTTGCACAACTGATATCGTACAAGAGGCAGCATCACGATCCAACTGATTAACAGCGCTTTTACGTATTTTTTATCATGACACAATTTTCCAATTCCATAGCACCATTGTCTTTACCATGAAGCATATACTTATTCCCAACCATAATGTACAGTGTAGCGATTCACCGCAAACATGTCGATAATCATGCTCTAATACCCATTGGTTCGAGTGAAAGATGCAAACGGGAGAAATCTGAAGGAACAATTGACTGTCACCACCAGGACTCCAACTAGGGACCTTCGCTTATACAGTCAACTTCGCGTATAACGACAATCGGCGGGGCATCAGAAAAGTGTCCTTATTAGCGAAGTGTCGCTATACCCGAAATCTCATTGGATCAGTTGGATCGGACTTTGCTCTGGGCATGGAAATTCTGTCGTTATTCGCTAATTGTCGTTATGTCCGCAGTCGTTATTAGCGAAGTTGACTGTAGCCAGCGATGCTATAACCACTGAGCTATGGTGGAAGGTTCGATGGACTTCTCGTGTGCTATGGATGGCAGTCGTGAGTCAGTCAAGTGAGAATTCAAGTCGGCAGGAATAGCGCAAGCTTCCACGTAGGGAGCAACACACAATTCCACTGAGCTATGGCTTAGCTGCTCTTATTCCAGTAGACACCTACTACATATTATCCATTGGGATATGAAAAAGCAAGGTTTCCCTAAATTCCTTCTCTCCTCTTGGTCTTTCATTGCAAGCCTACCCACTTACGTCGAAATTTCCCATCAACGGACATCTTCATCGATTTGGATTTGGGATTGAAATCAATGTGGATGACCGCTCGAGTGACCTTTTTGAAAAATACATTTCAGCGAGAGGGCTAAAAGAGACAACTACTGAAGTAATTTTCATATTGATTACTGCTTGTGTAACAGCTACATGAGCCATCACGGAACGAGATAAAATACACGCCTTGCAAACACGTTAATGCGGGATACTATCAGAACATAGCCATACGAGATGTCATGCCAACACGGCCATATGGACTAGGAATGGGGTTTGCATTACTTACAAGTAGTTGACGTTTCGATATGTTGCAAGGATTTTGCTTGATATTTGCGTGATCGAATTATTAGACAAATTCCTGTGGCATAAATCCATTGCAGAGACACAGACATATTCTTAAAACAAAGTGTGCTCTTCTTTGTACCTTCAACTTCCAAGTATGTGTTAAAGCAATTCTGATTGATTGATATACCGAAAAGGGTTTAGTGGTGATCACCATGTTCGGATTACAATTCGGAACAAGGACCAGTAATATGAACACTGCAACAATTCAACTCGCAGCATGAGAACGAGTTATGCAGCAACTATCCACGACTGTAACAAGATGATGTGTTTTCTTCTCTTTTTGTACATTAATTACTGACTCAGTAACCGAGTTATTCAAGTAGTGTTTGTAGTAAAGATGGAAATTGAGTTCAATCATTATTTTCATACATGATAAAACGTCGCAAGGATTACTCACAGAATAGTTAATCTGTGTGATCGACAACCAACTTGTAGCTGTGGTATTTCGGTTAAGTTTGCCAGCCTGCAATCAAGTTCGTGTGTTCCAAGGCGACAGTCGCGGGGGACACAGCTAGCACCGCACCCACTTAGAGCAGTTGACGCAAACAGCAGCATGGCCAACAATCCATACACCATGATTCTGCAGAGGTAGGAAAGTGACAAGGACATTTCTCTACTTTGGAACGTCAGTGGTAACATAGTTATTACGTGATGAGAAGCAAGTCTCAATGGCAACAGTCAATTATATGTTCTAAGTACTTGTAGAAGGTTTTGAAAAGTCATCAACGATGTTGTTGTTGTTGTTGTTGTTGTTGTTGTTGTTGTTTATTATTTCAATTCACCAAGTGAACGGGCGTTTCTTGCTTCTCACCAGGTCCTGAGACCTAGTTTCGACATAAGGATGTGTGAATACTATCATAGTATATTCATTACTAAGTAATGATCCTGCCCTTTCTTTTATTGTCGTTGGATAACAGCAATAGTAGCGAACAACAAGGCACAAAACTGACAATCTTTGTTTGCCAAGGGACATATATGTAGCTCGTGCACATCTTCGTGGCGCATCCCTTCCCCTCACTGGATCATTTCCGCACCTGAGCCTTTCAAGTTGGAAGGTTGTTGGCTTGCGTAGATGTGTTGGAGCTACATAAAGGTGTCATGTCAGTAACGAGTGAGAGATATACATGCATATAGAAAGTACATACTTCAAGTACATCATGAACATTTGAACGGACAACTGGTCAGAACCGGTAAGAACACCAAATTAGTGTATTATAACTGCTCCTTGGCGGACTTCCACTTCATATTGCATCCTGATGATGGCAATTTGCCGAAACGTTGAAAATGATTCTGTGAAATGAAATGAGTTGTGAATTCGCAGTGCCCAGGGAAAGAGCATGTGTGCTCGCCAATTCTCTTCGTCAACCGGTTTCTCGTTACGATATTCATTGAACATACGTAACAATGGATTGAAAACTAATCAAACATTCTTACATGTATTGAAGTAACACGTTAGTTGTTGCCTCCGTAACGCTTGTTTAAAAGAAATGATTATCATTCTGTACTCAATGTATTGTGTTAGCCTTGAAGTATGTTTGAATATTTCAAACAATGGTACAATTTTGCAAGACTGTGTTCACGGTGAATTCGATTACAGCTCTGTTTTCACGAGCTCCGGTTTTTTTTGTGTTAGACAGTTTAAGACTTTCCCTCAAATGCACCTCCTGCAGAGTTTTGGGGCACTGAGTTGAAAGGTCTTGGTCTGAAGACACAACGGCAAAGCGTTATGGAGATACATGTACATGTAAAATGTAGATATCTTTGAACTACGCCCTAATACCAATGTACGTGTGACGTCGTTGTGGTAGAGTGCGAAACTTTGGGTTTTGAATCCCAGTTTCTCTCTGTCGGGAACAAAGTTACTTCAGAATGTTGATGAAGTCACCTGAAGCTCCGCCATTTTCTTTGCTTGTTTATGTTGATATTTGGGCCAGTTTTGCTCGTTACTGTCTTTCTTCTAATAGGTTCTATTTCTCATGTTCGTCATTTTGAAGTCCCAAGAAATCTTGATTCATTTCAAGCCAAAGAAAGTTTGAAACGTAGGAATGTAACTTTGGCTCGACCTATTATTATATGTACTCAGATGGAGAGCTAAGGTTTAATTTATACAAAATAGAAGATATCGCTTGAGCTGATTGTTAAGAAACTGGTGGTGTTAGTGGACAGTATAGCGTAACTTGTAGTTCCTTGGTCTTTCTATTTTGTATAAATAATAATTATTATTATAATGTGTATTAATGGAACGGAACCTACGGTGGGTATTCTGGTTGATACTCGCTCAGAGTCTCAGTGACATTCTCTTCGTCAATCTTAGTTCTTCAGTATTCTTATCATTCACCGAGGCATAATACTCTTATGACTATAGCTTATTCTTCCTCCACCTTACGTCATACAAGTAATCTTCTCAATCCCCTCCATTATTCCCATCATTGTCAGTGATAGGGCACTATTGCTCTCTTTCGGGGCTCAACATCTGTACAATCATCTGAGTACTACTACAATGCATTAGACGTGCCGCTCACCTGGAAAACGTGTTTGGCTTAGGCTGACCGTTAGTTTTGTCTCCTTGGGTCTTGACTCGAACAACACTGGAGACAGCGCACTAAAAACTCGCGAGACGAAAGGAAGATCTCCTCCAAGAACTAGTGTGTTCACTGGCAGACTCGTCCCGCGCTGCGAGGCGCAATGACCTGTTATGCACAGGTCTCCCTGAGGCGCTAACGAGTCTTCAGTTCAGAGTAAAGAGAAAAAAACTGTTGTCGAAGACCTTCAAAGACACTTATGGCACCTGTGTCTACACGTACTGCGTGGCTTAGCTGGCACACGTACAGCAGTGTGGATACAAGATAGTACAGTACTAGTTCAACTGCAAAATCATGTCACCGTCCGTGCCGTGTGTGACTTAGATAATCACTTTTTTAGCATCCTATTGGTTGGAGTACAGCGGATGGAAGAGCAGGTTGAAGACGGTCACTAAATGCGCTCCAGGATTTGTATGTGTTCCGCTGCAGGATATCACTGGCTATAGTTCTGGCATTGTGTAACAGTAATACGTGTTGGCTGATAGGCCTGGTCATTGTGGATGTGTGCAGTGACGTATGCATCACGCACTCTTTCAATGCGAGTACATGTGTAGGTAAGCACGTTGTTGCCGTAATAACAATAATCATGATAATTAAAGTGTGTGCGCGTGAAGCTTTTCTTTACGTACGGCCTGTTGTTGCTGTTGCGGTGTTGGTGCAACTGTTGTGCGTGCAAACAGGGGGCCTTACTTACTTCTGCAAGTTCTGGCCAGGCAGTCAGGCAGTCAGGCATAACGGGTACAAGTACAGTGCTGGCAAGTGAAATCCGACCCCATGAGCGGTGCGCTCACATCGTAAAGAATGTGAACCCACCGCTAGCGCTCAGGAGGTCGGATTTCAGTTGCCTGCACTGTACATGGATGCGGCTGACTGGGTTTTTCGGCACTTTTGCCATGGGCTGCGAGACCCATCACCTCTCCCCATCGTTACTTGGGCACTGCAACTGCCGCTAGGTGTACCGGTTGTTCGATTTTACATGATCGGTTTAATGAGATTCAGTATTGTCATGAAAACCCGTCAACACGCTCATCACAGTGCATAGGGCATGGCTGGAAGAAAACTTAGTGCAGTCAGTGTTTGTGAATGAATTATTATCGTGCTATAAGGCTACGTCGCGCCGAGAGCTAGCTGTGCAATGATGTAGTTAGAGGAACTGCAGGTACGGCTCTGCATTGGTGCATGCTGGCAGGGCACAAACTTGACTAATTGACTTGGTCAGATATCAAGGTGCAGCATTTCTTTCTCTGTCTATCGCTGTAGATCTTTGCTGTTTTCAGTTTTTAATATAATGCAATAGAATACACTGAGGATCTCCCTAAGTTGAACAGTCTTTGTACACACGTCTTCGGAAAGAGTATGTAGCATTTGTAAAGAAGTCTATTTGGACTAAGGCGATTGATACGCAATGATGATATTTATTATCATCACACGCACTGTGCAATATTGTTATACCAAAATACTAGGGCAATAGAGGCTGATCCTGTTTTCCCTTGCGAGTTAGGTATCTGTATGTGATTTTCTCCTGCTTAGCGCTAAGGGATCTTGCAATGCAGCTCTTCATACGCATCTCCAATGATGATTGTCATACGCTATGTCATCATTCTCGAGATCATCAACTGCGTAAGCAGATGCAGCCACCACTGATGGAGATCGTCTTTGGCCACTTACAGACTCACAAACACACGGATACTCACGCACGCACACTCACACTCACACGCAAACCACATAAACACGCACACACACACACTCACACACACACACACACACACACACACACACACACACACACACACACACATAAACACACATTTATCCTGCCCTGTCCTGTCTGGCTACTGCCACAAGCCCCCTCCCCCTTACACACACACGCACACGCACACACGCACGCACGCACACACATCGTAGTAACAGCACAAATGCAAGTACGTTGCCCGTGCTAGTCAAGTATACTGTGAAATAACTGAAGCGAACTGATTGTAATAATTATTTCGATAGAACTAGTGCACAGTGACGTAGTGCACAGTGCCGTAGTGCACAGTGACGTAGGGCACAGTGACGTAGTGCACAGTGACGTAGTGCACAGTGCCCTAGTGCACAGTGACGAAGTAAGAAAGAAGAAGAAAATAAGTGCTAAACAATAGGAGTGGAACAGGTAACGTTGCTTGACAAATCCGTCTTGAGTGATGGAGGAAATTGTTGTCAACATGGTCTTTACACTGGAGTGGTCATAGGAGAAACAACCAAGGACATAGTATCACTCCCTTAGTATTGACTCCCATAGATTTTGCCATACCTAAGCAGTCAAATATTCCTGCATATTTCACTCCTTAGGGCTATAATATTGACTGCTTATATTTGACTGCTTATGAGTTCCGCAGTCGAACGGTGCCTAGTGCAGCATGGTCACTTTATGAGCATGGGATGGTGCAACGGTTGTGCAATCATAAAACCGGGATTCATGAGGTCATCGTTCTGGAATTTGAAATACGGACTGTTTGTCGTGATAAATCTAATATTGACTTCGTACTTGGTCAGTATAGGAAATAAAAACCTCGTAAAAGACCTCGGCTTCGCCTCAGTCTTTTACTCGGCTTTTATTTCCTATATTGACCTCTCAGTACTCAGTCAATATTAGATACATAATGATTGCATATTCGCCCTGCTTGGGAAGAGGCACCTGTGATTCCAGAATCAGAGGAGTTATACGTATCTAATATTGACTGAGTACGAGGTCAATATAGGAAATAAAAGCCGAGTAAAAGACCGAGGCGAAGCCGAGGTCTTTTACGAGGTTTTTATTTCCTATACTGACCAAGTACGAAGTCAATATTAGATTTATCACGACAAACAGTCCATATTTCAAATTCCAGAACGATAACCTCATGAATCCCGGTTTTATGATTGTACAACCGTTGCACCAACACCTACTCATGCAGTGACAATGCTGCACTAGGCACCGTTCAACTGCGCAACCCCTAAGCAGTCAAATATAAGCAGTCAATATAGCCCTAAGGAGTGAAATATGCAGGAATATTTGACTGCTTAGGTATGGCAAAAATCTATGTGAGTCAATACTAAGGGAGTGATAATGTACAATATGATTCACGAGAATTTAGCCAAGGAGGCCACTTGTACAAGTGCAAATAATCGTACATACCAAGTTCCAATTCTTAATGGCCAAGGATACATCATTCTTATCCGAGTTCGTTCTCAACAGTCATGTAGAATGGATGTTAGCAAAACAGGTCTAATTGCAAGGGATGGGACAGTGAATATATACCTGTACAAAATTGCTTCGAAGTATGTTATCGCAACAGATCTAATACCCGGCCAGGTTTCTACCTTACAAGAATACAGCATTGCAACAAATTGTGCCTGGGTTCGTGGTCTTTGACACGTCCCCAAGGGTTTCCTGTGATCTCAACGCCGGTCCATAAGCATATTTAGCTTTCACCACTAGGGACTATATTCGTTCCGAGGGGACCCACTTCGCGACCGAGAGTCCGGTCGATGTAACGCCCATCGCAGTAACTTCCTCTCGCAACATTCCTGTACTTCTTACATGACCTTGTGGGGCTAGTTTCCTTCGCAAGAGATTCTTGTGGATCCTGTTGCGTAAAGCTCAGGCAGAGTAAGCAATTGACTCCCTGGACCAAGATCTTCTGAGGGGGGGGGGGGGCGGGGGGGGGCCAACTGGATGACATGGTGCGGACCGCGGAGCCAATCTCGAGCCTATCCCCTGAGACGACTGGTGCTCGAGAGCGCGCAACCCTGCCGAGTAAGGTTGGAGTTCAAATCAAACACGTTACAGCCCATATTTGCATTTGAAGAGGCCCCGAGGGTCTATCGCCCATCCCAAACTGGCGCTGTAAACAACCCTGCGCGGCCTGTCAAGTCGCAGTCCAGCACTCGACCTCGGTGAACAACTCACAAAGACTACGTACTAGTAATAGAAATTCACAATCACCACTTCTGCTGCATCGTTCGCTGGGCATCCTATTTCTTCGTATTAAAGTTGCTAATCCCGTCCCATTGTGTGTACGTGCTTCTTATTTTCTTTTTCCTCATTGTCCGGGTTGGTGTCACCCTCTCCTTAAGTCAACTGGCTGTCTCGACATGCTAAGAGGTGCAGAAATAGAGGGGAGTAATTGCAATTTTGTAATTTTTATTGTTTAAGGATTCCCCAAAGGCTTTCGCCTATCGACGGGGTTTACAAACTTTCCATAATACCAAATCTGTGAAAGAAGTGATGAGCAATAGGTGAGCAAAGAAAGAGAAAAAGACATAGTCTAGGGCAGAGCTCTGCGCTTGAGCATATGATTGTTAGCTTTCAGAACTGGGATAATACATTCAGTAGTAATGCATAGTTTGCACGTCCGCGTAAGTACAGCTGCAGTGGTGTCTTCAACTTCATTGTCCGCGTACCCATCCAAGTTTCATAAATAGTGGGTCCTTGGCCTTGTTCGTGCTGTCATCGTGAACTTGAACATGTTAAAGACTAGGTCTTGTGCTATGGTCTTGTCTGGAGTATAAGCCCTAAAGACCTTCTTATACAATCTCAATGACTGACACACACCCACACGCACGCACACGCCAGGCAGGCACACACGCGCGCGCCCACGCACATGCACACACACACAAATTGCTCCTGCAGACTGGCAGATCCGGAGTACCAGTGATATCCAATGGGCATGGTAGAGACTGCATGAAAAGCCAGTCAATAAACGTCAACCACAACACCTTCAATTGCTTTAGACAATCCTGACAGGAAAGATGCAGATTCACAGAACTCGCGCAAAGACTGGGTACCAGTGGCCAGAAGGGTACAATGGCTGTGCGGGCCCACTGTCCAAAATAGGGTGAACGGTAAATGCTATCCATGGCCATGTCTTGTCAAATCTGTACTCTATACACCAGTGAATCAACCAAAACCCAGAAAATTCACCCAAACGTCGGCGGCGGCATATGCCTTTCGAGTCTGCACAACCAGAAGAAGGCTTATACAGTTCGATGGTCTAATTAACAGTGATAAAAATAACAGCGTAAATGTCTGTATTCCATGACAAAAAAATTCTGGGTGCGGCTTACACTCTGAAAATACCGTATTGATCCTATCCTGACTGCATTTTCAATCAATTCTGCTTCAACATTGACATCTTTGTGGAATATACATGTAATTGTGTTATAAACGAAAGGACACAATGTTGCGAGCTATGACTGACTGTCCACCAACGGAACAAGATCATACACAGTCTGCGAGTGCGACAAAAAGGCTCAAATATCTTGTCGTTTACTTCACCTACAATTCGCAACACACAATCAGACCTTGGCTACACAACGCGTGTTATTACTGAACGTGGCGTAGTAGTAGAGTATAGTATAGTATTTATTCATATTTTCTCTAGGGCAGTCCCCACAGACCTATGGTCTCCTTACGGGGTACCTAGCCAATCTAGGATTGCGATACGAAATTGACTTGGTGAAGCAGCAAAAGTAGCCATGGACTGCTCGTGTGTTGCGAATTGAAGGTGAAGTACCAGATTGCAAGGCTACAATGGAGCTTCAAAGTTCTTCAAAAAACTATCTTCTAATGTATGTGTGTGAAATGCCGTGCTCTCTTGAGTGTAGGCAGGTTGCCTGCAAACTACTCTAGTGTAATGAAGCTACGTGAAGCGTCCTTCAAAATTTTAAAAACTATCTTGTCCCTTCTTTTCATCCAGGATTACTTTATTGCGGTCCTTTGACTCAACATCCGAGTAACTTCCGAGTTCACGTAATAATGTTCATTTCAGAATAACCCAAAGGTTAACGGTATAACGGTATAACGGTACCTCATTCAGTAGCCTTCCTCTTCATCCGATAGGTTTTTGCGGATAGGAAAAGCTTATCCTCATATCACAACCTCACAAGTTGCTTTTCAATAGGAACAGCAGATTTTAACTTAAGTCGCATGTTGTGTTATTCAAATTTCCTTGAAGGTCACAATCCGTAACAGTTACTGTATTCTAGGGTCCAGCGGATTCTGCCGGCAGAAAAATGGGCAGAATTCGGTTCTTTTTCTGGTAAGTTTCATGCAGGTTTGGTATGTGGATAAAAAAATGGAGCAGAATTCGAGGAATTGCCCGCCATAAGGTTTGTATGGTTCTGCCAATTTCACTGCTTTTCGAGCAGAATCTGCCGGTCCCTACTGTATTCCCGTCTGGACAGTTAAAACTACCAACATTCTCAATCCTCACGTCTTCACAGAATATCCGCATTATTATTATTATTATTATTATTATTATTATTATTATTATTATTTTGCTTGTTCGCGTTGGCATCAACCTGCATAAAGCAGGTATATAGCCTTCGCTTAAGCTGCCATAAAAAAGAAAGCTCATCCTAAGCGAGAGGGCTAGAGGGAAATATAACGATAACGAGATACAGAATACAAAGAAATCCAATGAGTTCAACGTACAATTAAAACAAGAAAGAAAGGAAAGAAAAACAGAGCCGAATCTACCGATTGATCCATCAATCGACAAAGGGGACTAATCCGTTAGTGTTGCAAAGTAGAAGCTGATTATAGTTGCAGATCTCCAGGCCAGGGCCAGCATATTGCCGATTCTGGATAGGTCTCCGCAGCATTTGATGTGGTAATTATCATAATGTTTGATAAAATTATGAAGTTGGTTGCTCCAACGACGTTCTAAGTTCGTTTTGATAAAATTGTTAGAGTATCTAGTATCTAGAGTACCGAGTATCTAGTATCTAGAGTATCTAGTGTAATTGTATCCGTTATTATTGTTAAGGGTATCTAGTGTAATTGTATCCGCATAAAAATCGAAAATATAATAATAAATTGGTGGCAAGCAACTCGCCTGCACTTTAAAACTTCCGTTTTCACACACACAATCCACTAATTATGTGAGCCTACGGTTTCGGTCGTTGTGACCATCCTCAGGCAGAACAGAACGTTCGTCAATTTGTCATCAAGAATGATTTGGAGTTTTTAGGAAACAATCAACGTTTAATGAACCTGCTCGAGGCGTCCTTCAGAAATGTGTAACCGGTTATATATCCTGACTGAAATCTGATTTATAGAAAAGAAACTCATGACCTAAGCCAATGAAAAGATACTGGTGAAGGTGATTCAAGCCAGCCAAGCAAAGTTGAACAGAAAAGAAGAAGTAAAAAATGTCACGAGTTATGACTTACTGTCCACCAACGTATTACCAGATCTTATACGGTCAGCGAGTGCGACAAAATGGCACACAGCTGACCAGGAGTACTGGCTCACCATCCGAGTTGAATTTAGAGATTCTTACAATAGGGTATCAAAGTGAAGCAGTTTTCTATCTCACGACTTATTATGGGGCGTGCGTGCTGCAGTGCTACCTGATGAATACATTTGCAGCAGAGTTGACTAGTGAGGTGTGTTCAAGGATAGGGTTTCCATTGCAACACAGAATGGAGTGTCCAATCGAAAGCTTTCTCCTTATTTTCTCCCCAGCCCTCCTTCCCTGTAACATAATAACATATTCGCTGCCTTGTCATTGAGCATTATTTTGTGCTCGTTTGGATTAGCGAATTCAAATACAGTATACAAAGAAACAAACTAAAGCACACTTTTGCTCTGAAAATCCTGTCATCCTTCAGTTCTAGCTGGGTAACCATTACAGTGGCAGCACTGCACCACACAACGCTGCAGTATAGGATCTTGGATAGAACATACAACGGATAGAAATCCAGACGAAAAGCCAGTAATGGGGCTTGAAAGTGATGACGTCAAAAACGGCCAGGGAGTAGTAAGTTGACATCAGATTTCTATTTTGGATCCACTAAGGTGTGACTTTGCTATTGCCTCAGGATTAGTCATGGCCCAAATTTGCTCAGCCTTCATCGATATTTTGCCGCACAATTTTGCCGCAACATTTTTCGATATTCTGCTTGGCATTTCCTTTCTCCGTCGGTATTTTGCTTTGGTTTTGCTCGAGATAAAATGAGTTTCAAGGAAAACTCAACGATAATTGTCGCTGATGGCGCCGGTATTTTTGATTGAGCTTCTGCTGCTGCTCACCTTTCTACAAAAATGTAGCCACGAGTCTGCTTTGTCCAACTTTTGTGCTCATTTTCAAACTTGATTACTGATTGTGTAGGGAAAGTCCCTAAGAAGCCTTGGATTTTCCGAAAAGCCCACCAAAACTCCATATTTTGCTCAAAACTTGCCGGCAACTTGCGCATCCGATATTTTGCTCAAAGAATTGCTAGCAAATTTGGGCTATGACTACTCAGGATGTGGATGCATAGCAACCCACTCATGTCGCATGCAGGTGTGGCTTTTACTTCGCCACCAGTTGTCACCCCGCCCCCAGTAGCCAAATCAGTCAGTTTCATTGACTACATCACCTTGCTGTGAGTAAGACCGCTTGAAATGTGCTTGAACTACAACTACAGTAGTAGAAAACCCATACAACTTGGATCCAGTTTTTGAATTTTTGAAATTGTTGCTATGCTGTGACGTACCACTTTCAAGCCCTATAGATGGCACATGTGTCAGTAAAGGGGAACAACAGTAGAAGGTTTCCGTTGTTCAAGGCACTGCAGATGGCAGAACCAAATCATACCAATAATTTATGTAATTTTTGACTCGGTGTATGAGTTGGATAATTCTATTTTATATGTCGTGCCAAAAAATACTTCCAACGCACTTGAGCCCGTATGGGCACCAACAACACGATCAAGCGCACGCTCAAACACGTCCGATGACCTACCAACGCACTCAACGTCAATCGCGCGTGCACACGCACACACACACACACACATACACAAACACACACACACACACATACACAAACAACACCATGTACCATGTATACACCATGTACTATGTACAATGTATACGCCCGTCGCAAGAGAAGCCGTCGCAAGAGAAGCACGCAAATCTGCAAATGCACTGGATGTGCACCCACAGAATTTCTTTTATAGCAACGATAGCGAACAAGATCTGAATGAGACAGATCAAGACTTGCGCCAGGTAACTGTCTAATCCACACAACTGGCGAAGCAATGTGACACATACACATAATATACAACCTCATACACATTCTCTCTTTCTCTAACCCCCCCCCCCCCCCTCCACCCACACCGACACACCCCTGCACACCCTCAAACACACAAACGCATATTCGTTTACTTTTTTCATCGTGCAACACTAGCAAATACATAACATGCTGATACAAAAATTCGAATTGAAGGAAGGAATAGAAGAGAAAAATGCTCAGCCCATTGAAATAGAATAGGTAATATAGTCCAACATGCATCTTCATTAACCATGGTAGATTGGTTCCACTGCAGTAGTCAAAGAAGAAGCAAACAAGCCGAACAGGGAATATTTTTACTTTATTAATGACTTGTTTTGGATCAATCCATGGATGAACATGGATACAGTGAATGGGATTTTCGGTCTTTGACCACTTTGCTGGTGAGCTGATCTACTCACCTCCCACCGCTTTAGGAGCTGCATCTACGCCTTGATCCTTGAAGGGTGGTGGCGTTCCTACGGATGCGGAAAGCCCGGCTTCCAGCGGAGTCTCACGCGAACCGTGAAATATTTTTGGATCAGTTTATAGAAAATAAAAAGGACCAAGGAACTACAAGTTACTCTATAATTTCCACCAACACCACCAGTCACTAAACAATTAGTTCATGCGATAACATTGCACGACACTGACTGAGGGTGCCGACTTTCCTTGGCCCTTTTTCTTTTCTTTGAATTAATCCTTGGCTCTCCATCCGAGTCCATTCTGTTTTGGATCATTTCTCATTATGCGAAGACTGCCCTGTAGCCATCCACCAACCCCATACAATCTTCACAGCACTCCAAACGGTCGGTCTCTGGGCCACACCAAACACTGAAAAAAACATAATATCATCATTCTTGTTTGGGATCAGACCTTAGTAAAACAGTTAGGGGTTATATATTGATGATGCAGAACGAACAAGACTGCTTAAATCCAAATCCTAATTTGCGAGCGCATAATTATGATGCCCGCAAATGAGTCACGTGCCTCTCCAAACATACCAATTATAGTAAAAATCGCTTCCCTTTCACTGCTAGCGTTAGCCTACTTTGATCGACCAATTCTTTCAAATTCCGCTCCACGTTTTTCCTCCGAATAATGCCTATTCTCCTTTTCTCCCCTTCTCCTCTTGACACTGATTGTCTTATTTTTTTGGAAGCTTGTACATTCAAAAACGACGGTATACCGTAAACTCACCCGAAACTTGACGTATTGTCACGACCGAACTATCTGGGAAGAAGCCGAAGAGCTCCGCTTATTAATGCAACAATCGCCGAAGAGCTACGATGTCTCGTTGCAGAGATATCGCTCTCAACATGTCAGTCAGGGCAAAAGTCGAACTTTTTTCACTGGCCTTGAGTGAAGATTCGTGATGTGTGTTGTACGAAAACTGGTTCGAATCCGTATTTATCGTTCTCTTCACCATTCCTTCTCACTTTCACGGTTGTTATTGCACTTATTTGAACTCGGATACTGAGCCAGTGATAAACGTAAAAAGAGAGGAAAGACATAAGAACGAGTTATTCAGCAACTATCTATCTATTCATTTTGTGACACTCGTGGATAGTTGCTGCATAACTTGTTCTCATGTCCTTCTCGTGTTTACATTTATTTTTTCCATAGTGTGATATTGCACGAATAAAGCTTCCATGTCGATTCAACTTGTCCTATTGACTGCGGGCATAAAAACAAATGCATTTGTAATTTGCGACGATCCCTTCTGACACTTGAACTCTATACTAAGATGAAGAAAGGAAAAGGACAAAATGTTACGAGTTATGACAAACTGTCCACCAACGTAACCAGATCTTATACAGTCAGCGAGTGCGACAAAATGGCACAAAACTGACAAGGAGTACTGAGACATTCATCGACCAAGCTCCAACACTTCTCCAAGGCGCAAACCAACAACCTTCCAACTTGGAAGGCTCAGGTTCGGAAAGGTCCAAGAGGTCCAAGTTAGGTCGATGAATGTCCTTTTCCTTTCTTCATCATAACTATAATTATTGGCTCACCATCCGAGTTCAACTTTGTATAATAAGACCTAATAATAACAACTGCTTGCATATAACCTCATTAATCGGTTCATGCATCTGTCAACACCATCCAACCAAACAACTCTGTCCGTTTCCAGAGATATACAGTCTGTGCACACTTCACAGTATATGCTACTATTTCATACCTTATTTTCATACATTATTTTCATACATTATTTTCATACATTATTTTCATACATTATTTTTCATACATTATTAATTTTTTCATACATTATTTTCATACATTATTTTCATACATTATTTTTCATACATTATTTTCATACATTCAAAGAAACCTTCCTGGTGATGATGTGTTCTATAAACATACCTTCTTGGCAAAAGTTGCCCACATATTCCCAGCAGCATTCCCTGAGTGTCTTCGTAATGCGCAGTTTCGCTCCATGGCCGCAAGTGTCCGGATCTTCATATGTTTGTGAAACGAAAAGAAGGAAAAGGAGGAGAAATTAATATCAAAGCTGGGGAGAACTTCAAATTATGATCATGCCAGAATGTGAGCTGCAAAGAGAATACATTCAATCTCCACCCGGCCTTAAACCTTTTACATATGAAAAATTATTTGACGATGGGTGACTGGCCCGAAACGTCAATAATATTTCGACATCAATAATAAAAAGAATTTTCATCCAACGCATGCGCCAAGAGTGAATTGCAACTAAATAGAGCGGTTGTCAGTTGACAACCCCCCTTTTATTTACATTATGAAAAGCAGCAATTTCTCGGAGGTTTTTTTGTTTTTGAAGCAAAAAAGGGGTAAAGAGGCCCGTCATTAGGCCCCGGATGTGAGCTGCAAAAAGTGAAAAATAATGCTAACCCCACGAGGACTTATCCTGTTCACAATGTACATGACATTGCCTGTCATGAGCAATGCTTTAGCCATATCGGAGCCGAAGAATGGGACAAAGCTGAACCAAGGAGACGCCGACAAAGTCCCCACTTCAAATTAAAATTCAAGTCCCCGGGTGCCAACCATACTTAGACCTCTTTTAAGCCGAGCAAAACGTCCCTAGATTCATTTCCAACTTTGATATGATGATGATGCACTGTGGTCTAACGAACGCTTTGTGATCACAATCTACCTCCTATGTGCAATGGATAAATCTTTTTTTTACAAAAAAACACACACACCATTTGACGGCACAAAGCAGCAAGGCAGCAATCTAAACAGAGCCTGTTAGCATGTGTGTTGGAAGCAACGTGCTTTGGTATAATCCTTCACCTCAGTGCAGAGTTCACGTCATCCTTTTTCCAATGCAACGTATAATTTCCGTTCTGCGTGTGGGCTAAGTGTGTCCAATTGTGTAAAGATGCGGCCGCCCGTACCAAATTTACGTTAAAGTTTTGAAAACTGGAAAAGTGATCCCGTTGCCCCACGTACCTGCGGAACATACCAACTATCCTTAGGTGGAATATGTTTGAAATCGGACACTGGGAGACAGCAATATTCGTATGCCAGAGGCATGCTGTGGATTGAACGAATGCACCCGCTGAGAAACGTGAGACTCGGCAGCATGCCAGCATGTATTCCTAGACACCTGGACGCTCTGTGCCAATAATCAGTACCCGAAACATACCCGCCTCTCTCACGCGAAGCCTAGCAGTAATGGCTTACCATCGATGAAGCGGTAAATGCCGGTGCAAACGCGATCCGAATTCAATTCATAGCCTTCATCGCAGATACAGTTACCAGAAGACATTCTTCCACCTTCGCCACAGGCAGCTGCAACAGACCAAAAGAATATACAGTAAAACCTGGTTCCATGCACGGACAGTTCTACACAGACACTGTCGGACCTGGTTCTAAAGACCACCTGACTTTAACGACAGTTTTTCCTTGCATTGTGGGGTGGTCGCTTAACCAGATTTTACTGTACTGTTGAGCCGTGAAAAAATGACATGACCGGTGCCTGTCCAGACTAGGCTGAGTTTCGGCCGACACTGAACCGTGCGAAAAATCCTGAAAATTGGCCCAACAATTGCCTGGTATGGACTGTGCTGGTGTAAGTCACTGACGAATCTGCGGCGAGTTTCTTGTCCTATGTGCTCTCCTATTAAGTACAATGTATGTATTGGTCGATATTTGGCGATCTTTAATGCTTTTACGTGGTGAAGCAGGCCTCCAACCAATCAATGCCGACCGATTCCATGCTGGAGTCGGTGTAGTACAGTTGCGCTCACTGAAATCCGACCCAACGTGCAAAGCTGGCACCCTCAACTATTACTTGCACGGCTCTTGACGCCCTGGCAGTGGAATGAATGCGGCCGGACGTACACATGTACAATTACAGTGATGGAATCAGAACTGGTCCAGGGCGCCAGCTTGGCAATTTGGGTCGGATGTCAGTGAGCGCAACTGTAGCATGTTCCTTTGTGTACGTATCGTAGTGCCTACTCTATTCTAAAGCTGCTGTCAAAATTGGCAACTTGCGCAACTCGACACACCCTGCAGACAATAGACATCCTTAGCAAAAGTACGATAACGCTAACTTTTACGGTACTCACTCCCAGCCGTGACAAAAGACGTTATCGGATAACGGAAAAACGTTACAGAGCTCAAAATAACGGGCCGACGTTCGTTATGGAAATTCTGCAAAAAATGCAAAAACTCGCATTGTTTTGTAACTGGCGGGAGATAAAAAGCGTCGTGCAGATCGAGATGAGAGTCGAGAGATTGCTTCATCTTGTGACATTTATTTTTGACGAGTTTTGCCTTTCAGTTGACAATGCCTGCGTCCTCTGCTTCGTGCCTTTCTCCCTCTATCCCATCTGGGAAACAAAGGACCAGTTCCACGGCACTCCAGTCCTGAGGAAGAAATTCATCGGCCTCTCCCAGACGTGCTGGAGCTGAAGAACCCTTACAGTCTTCGGTGCTGCGTTTAGGAAAGGTTTTCCAAGGACCTGGGAACAGCGAAAACTCATTTTCGCCGTGCTTTTGCTATTCCAGAGTAAAAGACCTCGCCAAGGTATTCTTTCGGAACGACAGCAAACTAATCCCTGGTTCAAAATTTTGAATTTCCCGCACCTGTTTCCACGAAAATTCACATCGCCATGGTTGTCATGACTACTTCGTCTCAACTGTAACGTACTTTGTGCTAAGGGAAAAATCAGCTTGAACGATCCGAAGTACGGAAAGGTTTGCGTTTACGTTAGCGTTTTTTTAGCTAAGGATATCTAATCCCATCTTCTCTTTACATTATACATGTAGTGCTGTCCACACTTAGTCGGGACTGGATCTTGAAGGTTGTCAATATAGTGATGCAATGGGCAGAGTATACACTTTCAAACTTTTAGAAAAATACAGTAAAACCTGGTGTAAGCGACCTCTAGTTTTAGCGACCACCTGCTCTTAACGACCGTTTTTCCATGCTCCGACAGTTCTACGCAGACACTGTAGGACCTGGTTCTAAAGACCACCTGGCTTTAACGACCGCTTTTTCTTGCACTGTGGGGTGGTTGCTTAAACCAGATTTCACTGTAGTTCAAAAGTACATGCAGATTTGATACTTACAAGTTGATGTTGACCGAGCTAAATTCACCAGGGCAAGGAAGTGTATCCGATTACACAGCATCCAAACACCGACGCCCATACATACACGCATGTTCGTAAACGCACCCACACACACACGAGCATTAACACGCATTTTGCAGCACACCAAGAACACCCAGAAAACACATTATTTTTAAATTATTGCCAATCTTGTTAAATTGATAAGTAGAGATTTTAAAAGTACTAGATCAGCTACATGTAAATTCAGTAAGATTCAGTGGCAACAGCCTATTTCGCATTATCATAATATCAAGAGTACAGAGGCAATATTCTTTGGTTCTGCAAGAGTGCTCAATGCCTGATTCAGGCAGAGCGGTGTACACAAAGGCACACAATGAAAACCTTGGCAAATCAATTCCGTTGTGACTCAGAGTTTCATGACGGAACCAATCATCAGACAACGAACAAGAGTACATAACCTCCATGGGGTTATGTACATGTAGTACGTAGTCTTCATGATATTGTAGAAGTGTGGAGGTCTTTTGCCAATGTACTTGTCCATCTCATTGCACTGGTGATTTCAGGATCAAAGTCACAGTTCTTGTTTCTGCTTCAGTCACAGTTCTTGTTGCTGCTTCAGTCACAGTTCTTGTTGCTGCTGCAGTCACAGTTCTTGTTGCTGCTTTGATTGTCGGGATAGTTTACAGTAAACACTATGCTCTTTTCTTTCTTGCCTTCGTTGTGTTTATGCTGGACGACATAAAGGTACCAGAATTGAAAAATAATGCCCTCTCTTGAATAGTGCCCTCTCTTATAGTACCCCATCTGTGACGGACATTGAAAAAGATGGTGCCCATGGGGAACTAATCGCGTGAGTAGGGTACACACCGACCCAAGGTGCATGAATATAGGCTAACGCGGGGATAGAAGGAGCCTGCTGTGAGCGAAATCAGAAAATATGGCCACAATGTGCACACTGAAATCCGGGCCAATGTGCAAAGCTAGCGCCCTCGAGTTCCACGGCCCTTGACGCCTTGGAAGAGGGACGTGTGCGGCTGGACGTACACATGTGTCATATACATGTACACATAATATGAAATACAGAGAGGTTCCAGGCTGTCCAAGAGAGTGCTCAATACCGAGAGGCAGAGCTGGTTCAAACAGTAAGAGGACAGAGAAAGTGTTTTAACTCAGAAAACAGTTCTCTGTTTTCTGATGATCGCTTAGTGCGTGAAACTCAGTTCTCTGTCCTCTTATTGTTTGTTTTTACCCACACATGACTGTGATGTGATCGGAACTGGTCCAGGGCCGCGGCCAGCCCTGCATTTTGGGTCGGATTTCAGTGAGCGCAACTGTACTTGTATGTTCAGTATGGACATTTTGATTTCGCAAAGTTGATAGGGAAGCGATTGCAACGTAGCCAGGTGTACGAACCATGGAAACACAAACAAAGGTTTTCAGTGAGTTGCGGGCATAACAACACTGTCGAGGCGCAGGCCAGTTGTGCACAGTCAAAGCGGGCTACTAGTAGCCGGAGACCTCGGATATGTGCCAGTAACTCAGTGGCATGTGATGAGTGCAGGGTTACAACACGTACATGTACATACCTGAACAAACAGGTTTAAAGTGTGAAAGAACGTCATGCGCTTCACATGTCGCACTCTTCTTGCCAATGAGTTCGTAACCCTGGTTGCAAGAATACTGGACTTCTTCACCCTGCAATATGGTGAGCTTATCGGGTCTGACAGAACCGTCAAATGGAGCAGTGATGACACAAGATGCTTGAGCTGGAAACGTGCACACACCAATACAGAGTAAAGAGGTTAGTGCAGCATGGTGTACAGTGTGTAAAGTGCTTTCACTGGGGGGGGGGGGGGGGCAGGGGCGTGCTCGGCCCCCCCCCCCAACTAGGG